ACCCCTGGTATAGTACATCAGGTAAAGGGCCGGTATCTTTACATCACGATTTAACAGACTCGACAGCCGGCCCAGTTACAGACCGTGACGACATGACCTTGACTTTTAGCGATTCACGGAGACAGCAAACACACACAGCTTCGCACAACGGAAATCGTGATCAAATAAAAATCTGCCCCAGATAAAAATAGCCCAGCACGCGGGAACTTCGTGATTGGATGTGTCACCCGAGGTAAAATAAGGTCACGAGACTCGAGATGACGGGGGTGGGGGTGGGGCAGGGAGATGTTAACATCTCATGACTGGAAATACGTGACTGGCGACAATCAAACTGGGACGCTTTATTCGCATCGATTCGGTTCAGTGAGTTTCAAATATGAAATCCTTGTATTTTGTTTCCATGCATAAAGCTACCCCTGTTATTGTGAAGCTACTGCACTAGAAATGTTTTGTACTGAGGGGAAGAATAAACAAAATCCGGTACTAAATTGAATTTTTTCTTACATTAAATGTCAACTCTGTCCATTTACTTCTCCACCGTTTACCATCATTTTATAATTCACATCTTCAAAAGCTTTTACATCATCTTCCCCCGCCTACACATATCTCCTGATTCCCCCCCCCCCCCCCAATGACCAACACTGATGACATTAATTCCAAGTATCAAATTTCATGTGTAAATTTCAATTAAACTTCACGTGAAGTGTTTACCAGTCCAATAAGCTCTTGGCTCAGAATCCGTTCACGGGTTAATAACTTGTATGTCGACAGTCATTATTTGGATGCTCCGCCAACATTGCAAGTAAAAATTGTCACGATTGATATGACTTAAATACCAACGATAAGTTTCCAATTGGGTCGGTGTTACGTACCATACGGGGACGGAGAAATGGGATAGTAGAGCGCTCAACTGCTATGTCTCGAGTTCGGATCTCGCTTCGAACTTGAGTGATAGTCTACACCAGGGGTCTCCAAACAGTCCGAGGGCCGCATTAACTATCAAATTTCAGTTCGGAGGCCAGTTTTTCCAGACATGTCTTTGATTTTTCTGGGCAAAGTTCTTCAGCCATCACCAACAAACGATTTTTCCTTGAACAAAAAGATCTCCGCGGGCCGGATGAGAGGACTTCACGGGCCGCATCAGGCCCGCGGGCCGTAGTTTGGAGACCCCTGGTCTACACGATCTCACTGAGTTCACCCAGTTCTGATGGCTACTTGCCTCGTGTTACTGGAAGTAAATGCGGCTGGGCTTATTGCTGACTTGTGGGACGGAGTGGTCTAGCGGTAAGAGCTGGAATGCTAACCCGTAAGTCTCGAGTTCGAATCCGGGTTCAAGTCAGTAGACCGTCACTGAGTCCACCCAACTCTAATGGGTACCTAACTCACGTTAGGGAAAGTAAATGCGGCTGGGCATAGTGCTGACAACACTATCTCTTCATATGACGAGGTCACAGAAACAAGTGAACTCTACTTCACTTGCCCCATAGACCGTCAGGTTTGAAAGGGAAACTTTACTTATTGCTGGCTACACTATCCGTTCACATACTGATGCCTAGAGACATTCGAGACATAAAATGACCATAAAGGTCCTAACTGAACTAAAATAAAGTCAATTGCACTGCGACAGCTATTTAGTACAACAAACACGACAAACAAACATATAGATTAAAGATCGCATTAAGCAAATATATGACGAAATAAAACAAACATCACACAAGCTGTCATTTTCTTGGGAACTAGCCTCATCCGTTGTAAGTTTGAAAATTACATACAACTTGAAGTATGTTGTAGAACACTGAATTCAGTGTTCTGCGCCAGTCAAATGTATTAAGCAGCTTCTTTGCGGGACATTTGTTATTGACTAACTACGCCATTGCTATACAAATATATTCTTTAGGACCTGGGTCTAAATTGTAAAGACCTCACATCTTTGAAGCTGAAACATAGTATTTGTCCTTCGGTATTCAATATAGGGTTAAAGAAAAACTCATTTGTGTAGGCCTACATGTCAAAGTGTTTTAATATTCCAAGGTGAATGCAATGTGTAACGTTTTAACAGCGATTGAGCTACAGTTCTTCACATACGAAATGAAGAATAGTTCAATTGTATAGGTTTTAAATGCCATCTTCGTATTTAAAAATAAGAAATATATTTCTTAAGACAGTATATTTATATTCAATTTTTTTGTCAGCATTAACAAAATAGAATGGCATTTTAAGGGAATAAGCTGAGGTTTTTTTTTTAATTTTACAATTTAAATACTTGTACCATGTTTGTCATTTGCAAGTAGGTATAAAACAGAAATAAAAGTTTAAAAACAAATAATTTTTTGATAGAGCTACTGGTCAGAATTCTACAAGGGTCCGAAAGATCATATATCATTTACCATGAACTATTTTTTTCCCATGAAAGCTATCACTATTCCCGCGTGGAGTTTCTCACTTATCTTTATATGAAAGATTATGTAGGGAGGCACTTCGAGTGGAATCTTTCGATAAAAATATAGTAGTTAAGTTGGTGATAAATCCGCTCCTTTTTCAAGAAAACAAATTGATCCATGAGACGGCGAGACATAACGCTTGACTGATAACCCGAAAATCTGGAATCCGGGTTCAAGTCAGTAGAACGTCCCTGAGTCAACCCAGCTCTGATGGGTACCTAATTCATGTTAAGGGAAATAAACACGGCTAATCATAGTGCTGGTCACACTATTCCTATTATGCCGAGGTCAAAGAAACAGGTAAACTCCACTTCAATTTCCTCATGGACCGTCAGGTTTCAAAAGGGAACTTTACATAGATCTATAGGTTAAACGTTTTTAGAATATTCAGCTTTATGTATAAATTCTAATTCAACAGGTTTTTTTGAGAAATCACCGGAAATCACTCAACAGTTGATTAAACACACATATACGCACAAATACATATATACATACATACATATAGACTAGATAACATGACTCAACAACATGTAAAATGTGAGTTGTGAAAATCTGGATTTTGACACTTTCCCAGAAATGTTGTATACCCGAGAGTAAAAAAATAAATTCACGTAGATTACAGTCTAGTGGATTCACAAGTTAAGGCACAATGAAACCCTGTGTGTAATGTAAAATAATCGGAGAAAAACATGTTCCCAAAGTAAAGTTTCTCCCTTTCCGCTTCATTCTCACGTCATGCACTGCTGATTTTGAGAAGTTTAGACGGCACAAACATTCAATTGTCTACAAACCAGGACACGGTATAGCAAGATGGCGGGAAATGTTGAGGGGGGCGGGGGGGGGGGGGGGTTAGAGGATAAGGCTATCAAGTAAAATCAACTTAAAATACCACACTCAATATTACGAGAAGTAGGCTATCGTTGACTAGAATGTTATACGTTAAAATAATTCTAGTCATTTGGTAACATTATCAGGTTAAGAAAGGAAATTAGTCAATAAGATGAACGTGTATTTCTTTATTAGCTACTTTAATACAGATATAACTTAAAAAATATATTTCCATATCTTACACAAATAAAATATAAAATGGGTTAAATATTGGAGAGAGCGGCAGTGTGTATATTAAGTGGAATTAACACAGTATTTACATTCTTTACCCTCAGCCTTGTTAATGTACTCTTACTAAGTTCGTCTACCAAAAAAATACCTTTTTCAAAAGTTCCCTCTCTCTGTAATCAAATACTATATGACAGTGAGTTGGATAAATAAAAGAGGATGTTTAAAATAGATTTCGGAACGTCTCCAGAGTTTCTTTGTTTAAATATTTGTTTATGAAGATAAAACCCAGATCTATTGTAAGTGCTTTAGTTTTAAACCGGTTGGCCTATTAACAGACGCGTACTTTTTCTCTTTTATTTGGATGTGCATGACTGTTTCGGTAATCGCACTTAACACTACATGGTTAATGCTTAGATAAAAGAAAAGTCTAGGTTTATTCCTTATTAATTTATATGGCTTACACTTTTTGGCCTGAGCGATAGAGTGCTAGGCTGCTAACCTAAATAACTCGAATTCGAATCAGGGTCAAAGTTAGTAGAACGATGTTTAGTCCAAACAGCTCTGATGGCTTACCAAATTAAAGTTAGGGAAAGTATAGACGGCTAGGCAAAGTGCTGATCACACCTCCTTTGTATAAAGATTAACTTTACTTCATGTATCCAATGGATCGCTTATTTACTTATTAAACAGAAAAGTAATTTAAATATGTTAAGATTGTATTCGAAATTTAGATACACCCAAGCTAGAAGCAAGTTGATTATACTTTTCACCACTGTAGCCTTAGAAGCAAAGGAACATTATGATACATTTCAAGTTGAAAGCTTGAGTTAAATTGGAAGATAAAAAATTGATTCAGATTCGCTGAAAACAAATGAATGGTATTTGTTCTTAATGTTTAATAATTTGAAATAGTATTTTAGTATATTTTTTTTATTTTTTTATAAATATGTTTAGCTAAGAAATATTCAATTCATACATTGTTTTCTACACACACTACCTTGATAATTTACTTATTTAGAAAAAAAAATGATTTTCTTTACACCTGTAAGTAGGCTGAGTAGTAATCTAGACTTTACAATTCAAATCTAGATACTAGATGGTTTAATTAATCATTAATGAACACCTAATTACGACAAGAACATACTATGTATCAAGCAGTCTTGGTTGTGGACAAGATAGTTAGTGTATTTTTAACCCTATGAAACGAACATTAATTTTTTTTAAAAGCTGTCTGTTTAAGTTGCTTATAGAGTAAATACGGTAGTGTACACTAAAAGTAAATCACGGTCAATTTGAGATCAACGTGATCTTGTATGTTAAAGATGTAAATTCAGGTTTTCGTGTAGAATAAGAACTAAAAAGTTTACTTAAGTTACCCTCAGTCTCAGTTATCCAGTACAGATCACTAAAGCCTTATAAGGAAACTCTTCTAACCGTCATGCGCTGCGGCGTGGAAGGACTGGTTTATATCCTTGGTTGATCCAGTCAGCCCTGACTCCAAACTTTAATTTCGGGACAACCACATATCCGGGATTCGGTAACTACCAGGTTGTTTCACAATTTATGGTTGTATTTCAAAATAATCTTCAATAGACAAAGCAAGTTTTTCGTTACTTTGAATTTTATTATGTGTGCTTCCTGTGTCGTTATTCCTAATGGACTTTAATTGTTGTTGTTTGTTTTTTAATTTTAAAATTTCAGTTTTCAAATTATAATTATTTCCTACCTATTTATAATATTTTTTTTATAAAATTCCTTTGTTGCAATGTGTCGCAAAAAAACTCATTTTAAACAATCAATACTGCACTTTAAAAAAAAAAAAACTTTTATTGTTACTATCTATATTTTTGAGTAAATACAATAAAGCAATACTTTTACGAAAAGATAATCGTTTGTAACGTGCATACATTTTTTAGCTTATTTATATAGTGTGTGTGTGTATGTAGGCTATATATAATATGTATATATATATATATATATATATATATATATATATATATATATATATATATATATATATATGTATATATATATACATATATATATATATATATATATATATATATATATATATATATATATATATATATATATATATATATATATATGTATATAAGTAAATAATAACCAATATTGCACTTGTGTGGATAGAATGAAGAATACAGCAACCTTTATACTGTCAGTGACAAGTATGATAGCTTTTGTACATGGGTATCAAAAACCGACAACTGACCAACTTTCAACGATATGTGCTACCTTGGAGCCTGGTCATGGCAGTGGAAAACAAAACACTAATCCGCCATTCATGATAAGCTTCGGTTCTACTACAACCTATAGCCCTGGTAATCCAGTCACAAGTAAGTCTAACCTTTGTACCTACATACATGTAAAGGAGTTTTATTTTCTCATTAGTAATATATATTTTGCATTCGAAGTAATTGGCTAATCAATTTATTTTATACGTCTACTGATACTCTACTAAGTCTCACATTATAAAACAATACCTATACCTTTATATCGCACACACGCACACACATTCGCAAATATATATATATATAATTCTTTATTTTTTTTTTAATTTTTCTAGTTACTCTGAGGTCTTGCATGAAGTATACATTCAAAGGGTTTTTTATGCAAGCACGCTATGCCGCTGTTGGTTCAGACCAATCACAATACTTAGGATCTTTCATAGCAGACAATACAGTTACCCATTGTAATGGGCATGTAAGTGTTTTGTTTAGAGATGACTCGCTTTGATATTGTAAAAGAATTCCGTTCCGGTAAAATTATGCAAACTATTAAAATTGTGTTTCTATGTTTTATTTAGTTCAAATGTCTATGTGTGTGTTTGTTTCTTAGTTTGTCTGCGTATTTGAAGATAAACTTGTTTTAGACCCTATTATAGTTTATCTTTTCCAATGAAACGTTATAGATACAAACGTCGCTGAAGACAACGCAATTACATCTAATTTTAATCTAAGTAGATAATAAACAAGTCATAAAACATTAATTTAATGATTAGTAAATGTTATAAAAAAAAGGGGAGATAACATTATTAATTACAATCGACCTGCTTATATAAGAGACACTAATAAAAAAAATGGCTACAAAAAAGCAGAATATAACTAACAAAGAATAGACTTTTAACAAGTACTAGCTACCGACGAACGAACGTCCAAATAACTTTAACCCATATTATCCCAAGGTCTCAAATTTTTATAATTTTTTTATATGGTTTAGCTTTTGGGCACTGAATGAAGGAATGACTATGGATTTTTTTTAAAAATCAATACTTTTTAAAATATCGATTTTTTAAAAAACGTCCCATAAATGGGACGCTAGCAACGAACGGCCCCATGCACATTTATTGAAAAATAAAATCATTTATCACGAAATATGGCTAATCACGCGAAAATTAAGCTGTATACTGATTTTGTATTGTTAGGCCAATGATTACATTGTTTAGGACAGCTAAAAATAATGATAATAATCAATTGGGTTAGCCATACCATGGTCTAAAATACAGAAATTTTGTTCAAAAGTCTATTTTTCTTTTAATCTAGCATCCATCAAAGTGAACAACACTTGGAAATAAGTAAAGCTGTGACTAGTACATCTAATTATACACACATGATCACACATATTGTTATTATTCATCGAAACTGTAATATAATTAAATATAAATAATTGATTTTTTGGGGGGCGTACTTGAAATTTTCAGGGGGGGGGGGACTTAAATTTCAGGGGAAGGGTGGACATTGGTAAAAGTATGTTTTATATATAAATTCCATTTTGATCTGGGTGCAGAGCCCCCACCCCACCCCTGTCCGAAATGATGCCTGAAAGAAACTCTGCCCTCAGTGAATTTGCAAAAGACGATCCGGTCCAGTCCCAGATGTCATCCAGCCATCTTCTCTTTTGTTACCCTTGCTATTCCCCCCCCCCCCCCTCACAGGCGTACATTAGGACATCAGACATCTTATGTCTAGGGCACGGATCCAATTCTGGGGGCCTGTATTGAGTGTTTGTGGCTCTCATCCATGTATGCACCTCACTATCCGAACAGCTCCCAATCTAACACCAGGAATCTCCTTAAAGAGTTAACAAATTAAAACTGGTATCGGGAACACTTGGATGGGAATATTATTGGGGCATGACACTAGTACACAGCTAATTCACATTTCTGCTATATGTAGCTTGAGCTCTTATATGAAGAGAGTTAACCAACCCCCTTGACTGGATCATTTCACCTCAATCGTGGCCATTGTTATCATTCTGGTTTGTTATAATTTTAATATCACGCGCTAGTTAATTTACAGCAATACTAAATTAGTTTATATTCAATGATATTAAATACTTCAGTAAGCGTAATTCTGAAAACTTAAAAATAAAATGTAAGTTTTTCAATATTTGCAATTTTTTAATACAATAATATATAAGAAAATATAGCTCAAGGTCATAATTAAATATCTATAAATACTACTTAACACCCTAAAGTCAACAGTTAACAAAGTCAACAATTGTTTCACCATAATTAACAATTTAACATAAATATTTGCATCTGTGTTTCTCGCTAGTGTCCAATAAATGTGACGTTTGTGTAACAATCTGCATAAATATAGGTCAAGGTCATAGATAAATATCTATAAATAGTACTTAATACCCCAAAGTCAGCAGTTAACATAGTCAACAATTGTTTCACCATAAATAACCATTTAACATAAACATTTGCATATGTGTTTCTCGCTAGGGTCAAATAAATGTGACGTTTGTGTAACAATCTACATGGGGCCATTCGTTGCTAGCGTCCCACTTATGGGACGCTTGTTGTACACTTGATATAACGAAGTAGTAAAAAAAATTGTTATTCTTAAATTTTTATCAGATAGAAATATGGTACTGCTACAAGTTTCAAATGTATTTTGCACTTAAAATGTTAATATTTTAGAAGATATGCATTTTCCTGTGCGCATGTTTTCTTTTTTCCGCCATTTTGTCAAGTCCTGCAAATCCGGCACTATAACATTTTTCAAAATTATTTTTTTTCACAAAACACACACAAATTCAATAGTCTAACCATTTTCAAATACAATGAAACATAATTTGTGTTTTAACTAGTTTTTAATAAATTTTACCAATTTTTTTTACAAGCGTCCCATAAGTGGGACGCTAGCAGAATATGGGTTAATAAGCAGACAACAGGGCTTGTAAATCTCGGTCTTTCTCGTTTGAAGTTCAAAATCTCGTTAGCCAGGAAGAGGTATAAATTTTCGAACTAAAGTAGTTTGTTTTTTTAAAAACAAAACCAATATGACGGCTATTGGTTTCTGAGCCTCACATAAGGATTTTAAAATGCCAGGAATACTCAAAAAACAACAATCATAAATGTTTCTAATAATAATAGAATCAAATTAAGTACCGTTATGCATAGGCTATTAATGTTATATAGACGATTAAAGTGCGTTTAGGACAAATTGTTACAGAGTCTAATAATAAATAATAACAAACTGAACGCTTTGTTTAAAAAATAACATTCGACGAAAGCTATAGTTTTCAATAAGCTAGACTACATCTTGTAGCCGATCATCATCATTGTTCACTATTTTAGAAAACTTAAGTATAACGAAAGAAGCTTTTCTATTTAATTTTTTTTTACCGACGTAATAAAAAATATTAAGATTTGGTTTGAAAAATACTAGCTGGCAAGTACGAGAACGAGAAGTTAGAGACCTAATTACAAGCAGTATAGGATTGGAGCGACAGCTAAAACGAAAACTAACGTCTGAACATTCATGTTACATTTTTTTTCTGTTACAAGTAGGCTACTGAACAACTGACCCAAAGTGAACACCACTGTCTTTAAACTAAACGTATTATGTTTTGATGCTCATGCGTGTTTTCTATTGTAGGCTATTTCACACAACGAAGACAGCGACAAAGTATTTAAAACTGTCACGTGGAATCCACCCAACACAAACACTACAGGACATGTTAATTTTATGTAAGTAACACAACCATAAAGTAAGTAACACAATCACAAAATCAAATAACACAACAAAAAGGTAAGTAACACAACCACAAAGTAAGTAACACAAACACAAAGTTAATTCTATGTAAGTAACACAACCACAAAGTAAATAACACAACCACAAAGTAAGTTACACAACCACAAAGTAATTAACACAACCACAAAGTAAGCAACACATACACAAAGTAACACAAACACAAAGTAACACAACCACAAAGTAACACAACCACAAAGTAAATAACACAACCACAAAGTAACACAAACACAAAGTAAATAACACAACCACAAAGTAACACAAACACAAAGTAAAACACTAACAGACAATTTAAAACAAATTTGCAGTTTTAGATTGGATACGTTAATGATTCTAGATAGGAGAACAAAATCACGTCAAACAAAATTAATAGAATCTAGCCCGGCTTATCAAATGTAAGCTCTAAGTAGGACACGCTTTTTTTAAATATTAAATTCTAGTTGCATTATATTTTTTTTTGCTTCTTATGAAGGATTAAGTTTTATGTCGCGGACAAAACCACTACAAATACTAGGTTCACCACGTGATCAGATACATTTACATTGTACAGCGTAAAATAAAAACATGCCTTATATTTGTATCAATGTGCAAACGTTCTTTGAAGGGTGACTTTTGTAATGGAGGAACATGAATACTGGAGCTACATTACATCCCAGCCTTTGTTGGACTCGAGGCTAAATACTACTGGAACACTAAATCCTCCTACAATGCTATTAGCTAACTGCACAGGTACTCAGACATAAAATATTTTCTTTATTTTGTACTTAATTTGTGTACGTAACTTAACAAAAATCGACACATCTGACAGTATTACAACAACAAAGTGCTTATTATATTAAAACTTGAATTCGAAGTGTCAAACACTGTTATGTTAGTAGAATATGGACAGTTAAATATTAAAAATTTGAATATGAAATATCTGAATTGTTCGGGTTAGTAGTCCCTCATAAGAAAAGTTTACTATACACGCCGTATATTTCACAAACTAAAAGGAGATTTGACTTTAAAAAAAAAACGCTTTTGAAAAAACTGTTCCATGATGAAAAAATTAACAATTGACATCTAACCATCACAACGTGGATACATTCTAAATGAAGGTAACATAAATTATTCTATAAAATCAAGTAAATATTGTTTATTAAATTGTTAGGAGCTTTCAACCAATCATTGAAAAAGACACATTTTTGACTATTTAAAGATTTGGTCATTTGACAATTGGGGTATTACTTACAGTACTTTTACAAGATTTTATATAAATCGTCAATTCAATCTAAATTTAAAAAAAAATAGATAAATAAATAAAATATAACTAAACTAACAGAAAAAAAACCCAGCCTATACACAATACAGCATTGAAAAATACAAATAACGAACAGTCTTTTATTACCGTCTTTTTAAGTTCAGGGTACACTGCTTTGCAGTAAAATTGACAGCAGTCATTATTATTCTAACTAAACTTATTAGGTAGGCCTATACCTGTCTACTTATTCAGGAACAGCAACTTGTTATAACAATATATATTGTAATTCAATAATTAAATTATTTGAAATATGTGCTAAGTAACACTCTTGACGAAACCATTAGGCACTTCGTGTATGTCATATTTAATGTACTTGATTTGTTTCTTCTTCAGCCGCAAGTACCGCTTCCTATATGGCATATAATCAAGCTACTGTCTTCACATTCTTTGGGGTCATTCAGGCAGTATTATACCTATGGTAAATGTTTGTAGTAAACTACATCGTTTCCGCATTTATCGAAATGTAAATCACAGAATTGTAATTAAAGCACTTTAATTATGTAAGTTAATTTTTTTAAAATAAATTTTGATGTTTGGTTTTGTAAACAGTTATTTTACGTACCTGGTTTTATATTATTTTACATGTGCAAGTGTATTTTTAGCTACACTGTTTATTGAAAAAAAACACAATGAAAATATTTTTTTAAATAATTTTTTTTTAATAAACAATTATTATTTTACTTACCTGGTTTCATATTATTTTACAAGTGCAAGTTTAATTTTATTTACACTGTTTGTTGGAAAAAAAACACAATGAAAAATAAAATGTTTATTTTGATGTGTTAATTTTGAATGAGATGTGTATAATAAAGATTTTATCATTTTTGCTACACACATAGTAATTTTTTTTTTTTTGCAATTAACATTTTTCCTGGGTCGAATCAATGTATAATTTTCAAAATAAAAATAAATTATATTGATTTTAATTCAAATATGTGCACATATTTTTACACGTTAAAACATTAGCAGTGACTTGATGTTGTAAAACTCAAGATTACACCGTGGGAATCCCTCACTATGGAATATGTTTGTGCATATAGCAACAGCTGTCTAGCGACACATTCCCACATCGGGGCAAACTTCAAATTTGGCAGTCCCCAATACTGGTACATATATATGAGCCCACATATTGATTTTATACGTCAAATTGAATATAATGTAAATAAAAAGAAAATCACGTATGATCAAATTAAATTTAATGATAAATGGTTAAATAGAAATAAAGTTGATAAAAAAGTTGAAGTATAAAAATAATCGACTGTAATGGGTATGAATAATTAATGATAAAGATTTACGGCACATTATCTTTTGGCCACCTCAGATAGGTCTTTGCGCCACAGTGGTGGCATTTTCGTTATACAATGGATGTCATACCACATATATTAAACATCTTCTGAAATTTGTCTGCTCTTAAATTAGTATCAACTGGTGAACTACGTCGGTATACGATTATATTGAAGTATTTTTCTAGTGTATAATTGACACCCCATATCACGAGACCAGAACTTAACCAAACTTTCTACACTTGGATTAAAGCAGATATCCAATCATCCTAACCTGTAATTTTCTTAGGATTGTTACGGCAACACGACTGCCTTTTACACAATGTCGTATCGGAAGTACTGGTCCGCAATTTTTTTTTAAATTCTAAAACAAAAATGGCGCAAATAACTTCTTTTCGAATCATAATGTTTCACATAGCACACAACAATGGAAATAGTTTAACTTTTTCGGAAAACTATGAGAATTTTTTTTTTGTGTATTGGTTAATAAATTAGAGAATTTTAATAAACAAGCGCGTGTGACAATAGCAGAATATGGTTAAATACACCTGAAGTACAAAAGAAGATATCATTTAGATCATTTCATTTACCTCATTATTGGTCATACAAAATTTTAAGTATAATGTATAGAATTTTATAATAAACATACACACCGTAATATTTAACAATGTCTAAAAGTTAAGTTACACACAAATGGTTGCGAAATTGATTTATTTTTTCATAATCATTATTTCTCATTTACCCCAGAGGGATGTCTAAAAATAACCCATGTCTCTTATTCTTGAACCCGATTTCCTCTAAGTACAGTAATTATGTTGTCTAAAAATAGCAACAGCTATCCGCCGTCAAGTAGCTATCCAGAGATGAGCGATCTGCTTTGGTTAGTCAGCACCATTTATCCATAGACCGATCCTTAGCTACAGAAATCAATACGTTTTCCGATAATTCCAATAATAAACATGCCCTGAGGATGTAACTGTCTAACCCCTCGCCTAGTAACGATACGGTAAACCTTTATTGGTTAGCCTTTGATGTTTTGCGTAAATGGAGTTTGGCATTATTTTTATTACATTTTGTCGCATGATTAAAACCCAGATGCTCAAATATTTTTTAATCTTTAATATTTTTGAGATAACAATTTTTAAGTAAGTCCACACATATAATTTTTTAAGTAGGTGTCGTTTAAATTATGTACAGCACCTCTCTCTCTCTCTCTCTCTCTCTATCTCTCTCTCTCTCTCTCTCTCTCTCTCTCTCTCTCTATATATATATATATATATATATATATATACAGAAATATATAAATATATATATATATATATATATATATATATATATATATATATATATATATATATATATATATATATATATATATATATATAAATATATATATATATATATATATATATATATATATATATATATATATATATATATATATATATATATATATATATATATTGGCAGGTGAAGTAGAGTTCATATGTTGTTTTTATCTTGGAATATGAAGGGAATGAGTGGTCAGCACTTTGGCGCAACCGCCTTTACTCCCCCTAACTTGAGTTAAGTACCCACCAGAGTCTACTGATTTGTACCCGGACTCGAACTAGAGATTTTCGGGATAGCACCCCAGAGCTCTACCACTAAGACCTCGCCGTCCCCTTAGAGAATATTATTAGTGGTATTTAAATATATATTAATTGTTAAGTAAAGCCTGTAACTATTAGCAGAAAATTGTCCATTCTGCTTAATTACAAGTCACATACAGGGAGATAATGCTTCTGCAAACAACACAATTATCTTTCACCAGCACTGACCCGAATGCGCAGTCAAAATAATTGTTTTCATGAAATATTGAAACACAACCATAATTGCATATTCCTATGGCAACATTGATTAATGCTATTTTAAGCTACACTAGACCTTGTTTGAGACTATCAGGAAAGGTAAATTATACTGAAACTATCACAAAACTAAAACTTAAAGTAGTTTATAAATCCATAACCATTATATTAACTCTTACTCTTTGAGAAAGATTAATAAATTTAACAGAACAAAACATTATATATTACATATCCTTATAAAAATAAAAGAACTAAAGCAAGTTAGTAATATTATTCGCCAATTAAAAATTAAATATTGCATTTTTAAAAGATAATATACAGAATATATAGATTTTCAAAAAGTAGTAATATTATAATTTAAAAGAAGTCAGCAATACTGTTACATATTGTGTCAGCAAAATAGATGCGCTGAATTCACTTTCAATTTTAAAACTTTGCGTAAATAAAAATATTGAGGTATTAAAACACAATATAACACTTTACCATCAATTTCAGTGAATAACATTGACTTTAAATACATCTATACCACTTACATTTTAGACAATATTTTTTTACAATGGAAACGTTACCTGTGACGGGTATTCCCAATAAACGTCAAGAGCTAATTTAAGCATCAAGAAATCAATATTATGGTAGTGTGAGACGAATCCGTGAGCGTCATGACACGGACATCCAACAAGCTGCTGACGTGAGTTGTGTCATTTTTCGTTCAAAACTTGGACGTTGTTTGCTGTGAGCCAGTTCAACGTTTGGTAAATTTGATCTACTAACTTTATATTTTATTTAAATATTTCTGTATTTTTATTAGTATATTTTTTATTCCTACCGATTGTTATATTTTTATTCTATATATCAGGTCAACGTTTCGTAAGTTTGGTCTTTTAACCTTATATGTTATTTAAATAATTACGCAAGTTTATTATAATTTTTAAAAATTTTACTACTTTGTTATATTTTATTTTGGTGGCTTATCATTTGGAAAATCGATATTTAGTTACGTCTTACAGAAAATTTGATTTTTTTTTATTATTTAGAAATGTATCGCTTGTTTAAGCTTTCTGTCGAAACATATTGCTCAGAGAATGCGTGTTAAAATAGTCTTATTTTACAGAATCATTAGGAAATAAAATTTATAACTTCTGATTAAAATAAAAATGATGTTGCTACACCTCCCAACAATTAAATCATGTTAGTTTTTTAGTAAAAATTGAAATTATAATTTAAAAAAAAAACATTTCATGGAACAACTTTTTTTATACGCAAACTCTTATATAACATAAACATTGATAGTGAACAAATCAATAATAACATGCTTAAATATAAGTGCCTTATGTAACAGTTGATTCAATTAGCACGCCGGTGTTAGAGTTAGGTTCAGTTAGTTTTCAGCCATCATTAAAATGGGAAGCCGATTCGACAAAATGCGAATGTTTTAACATAACAGCAGATGGTTTGGAGACTGTTTTTGCTTTTATCACTACATTAGCCCTGTCTATCGTGTCTTTGTTTTTACTTTTATTACAACATTGACGCAGTCTATCGTGTCTTTGTTTTTACTTTTATTACAACATTGACGCAGTCTATCGTGTCTTTGTTTTTACTTTTATTACAACATTGACGCTGTCTATCGTGTCTTTGTTTTTACTTTTATTACAACATTGACGCTGTCTATCGTGTTTTTGTTTTTACTTTTATTACAACATTGACGCTGTCTATCGTGTCTTTGTTTTTACTTTTATTACAACATTGACGCTGTCTATCGTGTCTTTGTTTTTACTTTTATTACAACATTGACGCTGTCTATCGTGTCTTTGTTTTTACTTTTATTACAACATTGACGCTGTCTATCGTGTTTTTGTTTTTACTTTTATTACAACATTGACGCTGTCTATCGTGTCTTTGTTTTTACTTTTATTACAACATTGACGCTGTCTATCGTGTCTTTGTTTTTACTTTTATTACAACATTGACGCTGTCTATCGTGTCTTTGTTTTTACTTTTATTACAACATTGATGCTGTCTATCATGTATTTGTTTTTTATTTGATCATTACATTAGCGCTGTCTATCATGTATTTGTTTTTTATTTGATCATTACATTAGCGCTGTCTATCATGTCTTTAACCGTTTTGCATTTTCTTTAACATAGCTAAAATGTTGACTCTACATCTTATCTTTATCATAATCCAAACTTTGGCTAGCTGAGCGATACATAAAGAAAAAAAAAAGATTTACATTTAACCACTAAATTCACAATGTTGTTGTGAGAGCGTTAGAAAGTATAGTAACACGATTTTGCACTGTGCGCATTGATGATTTTTCTACTTCGTGTGTTATGAAATATCTATACAAGCCATCAACTTAATGTCAACTTTAGAGCATAATTCCCCTGACTTACATTGACCTTGCACCTGTGTCATGTGGTACAACATCACGTCCCACTTAACAGCCATTTCCGCCGCAGATGGTTAGTGATATCGTGTTTCCGAGTGCTACGCGTGATCGACTCCAGGCTATTTAAAGCTGAACAATCGATCCTGGGTTGTTGAGTCATTCACTAGCGATGCTTGGATATACAGCGTATAACTTTTGTCAGTTCTATACGGGCTGTTAGTGACTTGTGTTTGTGGGTGGGTGTGGCTGGTTTGACTTGTTTTAGATTTGTGTTTCGGGTTTGTAGCTTCGACGCTTTGTTTTAATTAATAATTTAAAAAAAAACACTACATTAATTATTAAACGTATTGCGAATTTTTTTTTTAAATAAGGGAAAAAATGCTGACCAATCATTGTGAACTACTGATTATTATAGTATGTATGCCTATATATCCATTAATTGTTAATTAAAAAAACAATATATGTTATAAACGAGAAACTCATACTCAATAGATTAAAAAAATATTTTCTCCACAGGAAGATGATCGCCCTAACCCTAACGTTCCTTCTCCTGACCATAACCTGTACCCAGTGCTACCCCAATGGCCAAAACGTGGACAGTGTCTGCGACAGTCTGGTGCCTAGCCACCCTGGGGAGCCTAAAACCACCCTGCCCCCCTACAACATCACCATACTTACTACCAGTTACAACGGCACAGGAAACATAGAATGTAGGTCACACCAAACTAGAGGTCACACGTTTGCAGGGTTTCTTCCGGACATTTTTCTCCGGGGGTTGGGGGAGGGAGCGGACCACTATATAAATTCTACTTCATTCGAGGGGGGGGGGGAGGGGGAAGAGACGACCCCTCCTACATTGCACGTTTGTTTTTCATGATTTGGTTATCTACTAGTGTCTGCCACCCCCCCCCCCCCCCCCCCACCGTCGGGCTGGTTTCGGTTATCTACTAGTGTCTATCGCCTCCCTCCTCACCCCTCTCTTACTGGTTTCGGTACTGAAAGCGTTCCAGTGGTACAGCATACCATTGTAAGCCATAGCTCGCTTTGTCCCGCATGACTTAAGAGCACTTATGTCAAAATTTCCACCCCGCTGACATCTATAACAGTCACACTTGACTTATCTTTCATTGTGAATTACTAGAGCGGATATTCATTCTTACCGATACGCGCTTTTAAACTTATCTGTATATATTATCTTTGCCTAGCATTTTGACAGGATTTTGTAGAGTTCTGATGCTAACCATTCGCAATCCATCAAAGTAGCATAACATATTAAATCACTGTACAGAAGTCCAAACATGTGAAACACACATTTGTAAACAATCAACTTACTTACTACTTATTGCAAAATGTACAGTCAATGATGTGAAATATGCTCTCACTTGTCACCATGTGTTAAATATAATAATAATAATGTAGACTCCCGCCCCCCCCCCCCTCCCCGCCCTTGTTATACCAGCAAATTAAAAAAAAAATACATATCCATCCTTTATCACAGCTTATAAGCAGCCATTTTCATCCCCTACCTCAGTCCAAAAGCAGACATTTCCACACTCCTCCCCATTTACCAAAACAGTCTATATAGGAACAGTGCATTCATACACGTCAGGACACATTGGCAGCATATATTTGTATATGTCGCTTCCTTTACAATCTTCACATTAATCCTAGCCTTAATACTGGTATAAAACGAACAAGAGTTACGCAAGGTCGATAACCACAAGTAAAGCACATTACTGTAATTTAGAGAATTCCTTCGCTTGAGTGTATACTGCCCGAACCTTAAGCTACTTAACTAATTAGAATAATTGGAATTAATCAGCCTAGTGATCATGTAATCAGGCTGACGTATTGTGGCACCTGAGTGACAACCGCAGGTATGATGAGTGTGTGTCCCAGTGTATGTTTAGACAGATTGCAAGTATAAACTAGCACAAGAGAGATGGGTTATCACTGGGGACAGTTGGAAAAACTAGCACGATAAAGTAAACGTATGATAAATTGGCTAAAAGTGGCGTGGTCAAGCTAGTGTTGGGGACTTTAACATCCTTAACGATTCCCCTTAAAAATAACACTTTAGCAGACAGTCAGAGGCGTAGCGACCCTTCCCGGCGCCCGGGGACAAACTTTTCGATTTGCCCCCCCCGCCCCCCCCCCCTCGAGATTTCCATTTGCACCCCCCCCCCCCCTCAAATTTTCGATTTGCACCCCCTCAACCCTTAACTTTATTTTTCCAACCCATTTTGGCGCCCCCTAAGGTCGGCGCCCGGGGACATATGTCCCCCCCCCCCTCGCTACGCTACTGCCGACAGTCATTGACTTTGTGCGCTAAAATCATTTTATGTAAACAAATTTAAAACGTTTAATATAACAGAATCTTATGCTCTTAAAATGGGAAATAAACATACTTTTGAGTCCCCACACCATTGTTTCAAATATATGCTAGTGAAGCAGCTAACTATACAAAATTTACAACTTTTTCTTTTTTTTTCTTTTCTACTTAGTGTCTCTCAATTCTTGCCCGAAGTTCCCTTTTAAGGGTTTTATGATACAGGCAAGGGACAGCAACAATACAAACATAGGAAGTTTTAACGTCATTACTGGGACGAGGACAGCTTGTTCTGGTGTAAGTAGGCCTACTATGGTTTTTTTTTTTTTGGTTTTTTTTAAATGCGTTTAAAATTGAAAAAAAAAATGGAAGGTTGCAAAACGCATTTGTTTTGGTTTAAGATTGAAATTGAATATGATGTAAGACCACATGTACATTAGCTTTATGTATGTTTTAGAAAAAAAACGGTTCGAGATAGAGTTTTTAATGTACAATTTTACAAAGACAGAATTATTTGAATGGAAAAATTTCCACTTCATTACACATTTTACAATCTAATGTGTAATTATCCTCGACCTTTGTGTGAGCCATATTTAAAACAAATTAAAGTATTACCCCTCCACAACAGCACGTACAGATTTTACTGATATTGTTTCTAGTATATACTAAAGTTTGTTAAGATACTCAAAATTTTCATGTAAAACACAAGCTTCAAGATCAAAGCTTTTGTAAAAATTCCGAAACGTTTAAAATATTTTCCTAACGTAATAGTGGTAACGTTTGTAACAACTATCATAACAGGCTGCTCTTGTACATTCGAGTTCCAATGACAAAACCAGTCTAGCTCTTACGTGGGTCCCTCCATCCAACTCCACTACCAACGTCTTCTTCAGGTAAAACATGTACCTGTCTAGCTATATGTTCTATACGTGTCAGCCGGTGAGTAAATATAACGCTCTCAGTGTGTACGTTGGCGTTTCATTTTATATACTCACATGTGTACGCATATTCTCTAAAAGTTTGAGTGTGTGTAAACACTATATTTTCTAAATATGCTGTTTTGGTATATGCTCTATATCTTCTTAATGTTATGTTATGATGTATGCTCTACATTTTCTAAATATTAAGCAATGGTATTCTTTATTTTCTAAACCCTAAAACTTCCAAGCATGTTCTTCAATGTAATGCCTATGTATCTCAGGGTGACATTTGTAGCTGAAGAAGATGAGTACTGGACGAACATAGTGTCAGACACACTCATGAACACCAAGTCTGGAAGTACGGAAATCAAGTACCCAAAAACCGCTGTCGATTGGAATTGTACTGGTAAATAAATAATTATCTTAAGCTTGATATGTACTAATTTCGTTAATTAGCATGTGGAAGAAGAATGCATAAATCATTCTGAACATCTATAATGATGTGACTCCCTTAGATATATCAGTGCAAAAAAACTGTAGTATACCCCAGACACAATGTGCTTATAATGTCATATAGTTATATTTATAGATTTATGCGAAGTTTTAGCTGACCAATAATTTTATCCGTGCTTATAAAGAGAGATAATCCAGTGTTTATTATTTACAAAAAATGATTAGTTCCCCTTGAGGATAAATTAATCACAAGTCAATTTGTTATTTTTAAAATTCTGAAATGTCAAAACGTTTTTTTTTTCTTCTCTTATTTGCGAATGGATGACAATGTACATGCCTTATTTACTTTTATTTTTTTTCTTGTTGCAACAATTCATAATTCTTTTACTATGTCAATTTTATCAATCTTCCACGTCGTGCAAAATAAAAACACGCCTATTTAAAATCATTTTTTTTATTCTCTCACAGCGAACTCAGCTGACCCCATGTGGCGCAGCCCAGCTCACCTGTACACGACAGCTTTGTTTGGACTGCTCACCTTCACCCTGTCTTTGTGGTGATGTCGTTATACAATTAATGTACTCTTGTCACCATTGGTGTTCTATATTAATGGACATTTTTTTGTTTTAAATTACATCACGTTAAATTTGGTATTTTGTATTTTGTGTAATTCACGATAAAAGATTGATGATGATATGAAATCAGCACAAGAGCCTTTTGATAATAAATTATTTTTTATAACTGGTGATGTTTTAGTATAAAATATATCTCTTTTAAATATATAATCTAGTTGGTATATTTGTATATTATGTTTTGATCTTTACGAACAAAAACTATTTCTATTTTTGCTGTTGTATAAATTGTATAAATCTTATATACAATTTGTTAAAAATTCATAATTACATGATCTCGTAATTTGTTTTTTAAATTACAAGAATTAAACAATGTCATTAGTTACAAAGTGGATAAAATCACAAACAAACATATTTTAATATGTTTACTATAATTGTTGTTATTAGTTAAAATAATAGCTTTACACATGTTAATAAAAATAGATTCCCAATCAATTTATCACTTTCTATCAACTTTGCTGATTGTTTTCTCAAAATAAACATTCCATTTGTTCAAATATCTCATTGTAAAAACAGTCTTCTTGATAAAACACCTAATGTTTAAATGTTTTTTTTTTAACTTTACATAATATAAGGTACACCTTGTCAGGTATTGATGTAAATAATTACTAACAACTTTGTGCCAATAATAAATAGCTACACAAGATCTTGTCTAAATATGCAGTAGGCCTATAACTCTACATGTCAAATACGTTCAAGAGGTTGAAAACTGTAACAAAAACCATGGCGGTAAGTGCGATCTGTGTCACCCCACCTGCAATGGAGTGAACACCAAACAAAAATATCATCAATTACTACCTCGGAGAAAAACAAATCATCAATTTTCAATAATTATTGAATATAAACATACACAAATAGAACAAAACTAACTACGAAATAAAAACTAGAGTATTTGTATAACCTATATACATATTTTTTTTTTAAATTGTCATTTGATAACTGCACATTATTGTTTTATTATAGGCCTACTTACCATCACTAGTACCTTTATAGATATCTAGTTCTGAAAAAAAAAGTTTGAAGCAATTATTTTACACTGTATTAGATTTTATTAAATTAATATAATTGTATAGTAATCCAATTTCTTAATCAATTCTATAATTGTAAAACTTACAATTATAATTGTTTATTTAACGACTAGGTAATTTTTTAAATTGCGTAACGACACCATATTTAGCTGAAGAATTACAATTATATCGTGACATTATCTTAAGTTAAACTGTGTTACAATGCCCATTTACTGTGCCAAGCAACAGTTTTTTTCCATTCCGAATCAAATATTTTTAAAAAATGTATATATATATATATATATATATATATATATATATATATATATATATATATATGGCCAATAAATGTTAATATAAAATATATATATATATATATATATATATATATATATATATATATATATATATATATATATATATATATATATATATATATATATATATATATATATATATATATATATATATATATTATATTTTCTTACCGCAATAGATTTGTCTATTAAACAGCTCTTCCTTTGATATTGAGTCCACCTATGATTGAGTTAATATATTATTCAAAAAATTGGACGCACAAATTATTACAGTAAAGTATACAATAAATATGCGGTATTACTTTTATCAAATAATAAAGAGTTAAAAACTTAAAAATGTATTTCAGATAATTTTCTTAAAGTTTGTAATATAACAGTAGATTTATTTAAAAAAATACAAATGGAGTAAATACACCAGAATACCATTGGTTTTTCTAGCATTAAATCCCATATAACTGCCGTAGCTAGTCTAGTACATAGTGTAATGGTCTGTTGTCATGTTAGGATGTGAGTTCATTTATAACTATTGTATGGAGCAGTAATAGTTTGTTGTGATGTTTTAAATATATAAATTTTTATTTAAGCAAGCCAGAATTAACAACGGGAAAACTCGTAAATAGTTTACACTTCATGCCTCAGTCGAACACATACCATCCCAGAAGTCAACCTCATCGGTAGTTAGGTAATCAGTTTTTAAAGATCATAACGTTGAAAGCACCGAAGTAAATGGAATTTATAGAGAAAATATATACTTTTATCAGTGTCCGCCTTACAGGAAAATATCAAGTTCCTCACCCCCTTTACCCCTGGAGAAAAAAGCCTGGAAGAAACACTAGTTGAAAATTTAAAAAAAAAAACAACTTACAAGTTGATTGATTTGTTGTATAACACAACTTGATCTCATCAAACAACCAACCAACTCCTCAGAATATCTGTAATAAATGAATGCATTTAAAGCACGACACTGACTTTATTATTATTACTCATAAAATGATTAATTATTATCTAATATAGTGCACATTTCTAAAAAAAACAATAGTGTATAAAAACAGAATATGATATGATAGTAAAAATATTATCTTGATGGAAATGTAAAAACAAACTGATGAAGATCAAAACATATTTTTGCAGCATTATTTACAAGACCCGCATTTGAAAAGGAATCACGATATTCATAGCATGCACATCGGCGTTTAAATCGACATAGAAAGGTACTTCAGGAAACTTACCTGACGTAATGCTACAGTCAACTAGAAAGTCATGTACCTCGCATTACTTATATGACGTAGTGTCAATGACCTCGGTATATATGTACCTCTCTTTGCTTACATGATTAAGTTAGGATCATCTGATTACTTACATAACCTAATGGTACAGTCACCGATAAAGTCATTGGTTGCATGACAAAACGACCGAACGATTATTAAGAAAGTAAAAATAAACTGTACTTTCAACCAATCCATTCTAAGAGCGTTTGCTTGGAGGAATCATGATCTTATCCAAATTTCAACATAATTTAAAATTTCATATCACATACATTCCAAGTGTAAAACTTGTTGTAAGCTATTCATTGTTTCCGTCATTGGCAAACAAATGCACATGTCTATTTGCCATTGATTAATTGAAACATAGTTGAAAATATTAAGTAACTACCGGTATGTTAAAGCGGTATCTTCAGAAAGTTTGCTGAAATACTCACGGGCAATATTTTCTTGCAAGGTCTAGTGAGGTGGACACACTCTGTAGCTTGGCCAGGTAGGAGTTGATGCAGACAGGCGCACTGCCGCACGCTGTTTATAGCATGACAATAAATTATTTAGCCTTGTTAATGTGCTGTTTATAGCATTAGATTCAAATATATAGCAGGTAGATGTCGCATTTTAGAGGGTACAAACTAGAGACTTTCATTGTGCTGTTTAAAGCATTCAAATATATAACAGGTAAAGGGTCCAAACTACAGACATTCAAATGCTGTATAACTCATTGCATTCAAATATATAGCCATGTTATATGTCGCATTGTTGACGGTCCAAACTAGAGACATTTATCTGCTGTTTAGAGCATTGTATTAAAATATATTGGCATGTGAATGAAACTTGTGAAATTATGTTTCTAATGTAGACAAACTAGAAATGCACCTAAAAAACGGCTGCTTCAGTTTTATCTAAACTATACGGCTGTGAAAAGACGACTACGAATTTTGAAATTGTAAAAAAATAAGGTAATTAAAAAGTCTAGTGACAATTTTAGCGCAATTTCCTTATGTTATCTAAAAATAGCTCTGTCGTAGCGTAAATCAAGAGCAGGGTTAGTAAAACCATTGGTTAGTTATTAAAACGTATTTTATTAATTTTTTTCAGTATTTTACATGTTTTATTTACAATAGAGTTACATGACTAAAAACCCTTGCGCGCCTACTGAACGCGATGGCGCAGCTATTGAACGTGATGACGCGTGTGGTGTGGTTGGAAAAAATGCCTACTAATTCGGTCCAAATTTAATTAATTCAAAATTTTTTTGTGACCGAACGAAAGGATATTTTTGAAAACTTTCTTCGGCAATATTGTTTTAAATTATGGCAGAAATCGATTGGTACATGTTTCAAGTCGCTAAGTGGTCTGGTTGCCGAGATATGGGCCAAAAACTGAATTTTTTCGAGGTTTTTTGGCTTTTCCGGGAAATACATGAAAGAAACCCGGAATTTTTATGGCCTATGCTCATTCTCGTAACTTGTTTAACATAATTGCTTTTGGAACTAGTCATCGATATTGCTTCGTTGAGGAGGAGATACGACTTAAAGCCCGGACACACATTCATCCATACATTCATTCATCCATCCATCCATTCCCAGAAATGACGAGTTAATAAACGCAATTCTCCAGAATGGAAATTGCGCTAAAAAAATTGATTCATTAGTTAAAATGTTTAATTTATTTGAAATGTAACGATTAAAAAAAACTGTAGTTAAACAATTGTCTTTTTTTATAACTTACGTGTTTTAGGAGATGTGTTCCAATACCATTCAGTAACCGGTGCCACATCTGGAATTTATAATTACAAATACAACATAATAGTGAAGATGTTTGCAATTTTAGGGCTAGTAGACTTAAAACGCTAGAGAATCAGTTTAGTAAAATCACGTTTTGAGGTATTAGTCTTAAAACGCTAGAGAATCAAGATAGTTAAATATTGTTTAGGGCTAGTAGACTTAAAACGCTAGAGAATCAAGATAGTTAAATATTGTTTAGGGCTAGTAGACTTAAAACGCTAGAGAATCAAGATAGTTAAATATTGTTTAGGGCTGGTAGACTTAAAACATTAGAGAATCTATTTAATAAAATTTTCTTGAGGATAAATTTTATAAATCGTACACAACTTACGTTCGAATAAGCACACTGTTCTGATTGCTATTGTATAACTTACTGTGAAATTACGGTTGCGCCAGTTGGCAAAGTTAAAAGAACATACCTATTATCACTAGTGTTTCTTCCGGGCATCTCTTCGTGGGGGGAGGGCGGGGGGGGGCAAGAAGTAAGTCTACCGCCTATCCCCCCACCACCTCCCGAACGAAAGGCAATTTTTATTGGAAATAAATACTTTAAACAGTGTCCGCCCCTTGGAAATTTTAGTCCGCATCCCCCCTCCCCAAATTTCAAGTGCCTTCCCCACCCCCCCCCCCCAATAAAAAGTATATAAGAAACACTGATTATCACCCTACTTGATCACGCCCCTGTGTGTAGTAAACTTTCTAAATTAACTTTCAAAAAAAAAATAGTTAACTCACCAAGGCTGTCAATGTCAAGATCTGGATATCAAAAGAAGAGACATGTTAGTTTAGTCGCATTATTACAACATCATTTTTTTTTTAAATTTTCGTTTTACACAAGCGACTAAGAGTATATTTGAAAATGTTACAAGTTGAAGAAAGCTACAGGTAGCACTCAACTCACCACAGAAATAGTCGCTGCTAGCCAGGCTTTGTTTGGTAGATTGGATGATGCCTTGTTGGTCTTGTGCACTTAGGGGACACACACGAAACAGGCACTTGAGGTGGTAGGTCATGTCCCTAAACAGCACATGGTTCAAGGTAGTTAACATAGGAAAAGTGTACAGGAATATACAATTAATGGGGTTTTTTTTTAGGTGACTTTCATTCAGCGTACGGGTGGGTAGGATCAAGCATAGGAATTTTGTTTACATTAGATAACTTCTTGAAGTTGTTTTGTGAATACTTAATGTGCAGCGCCAAGCACTCAAATTGTGAGTACAGTTTTAAATATAATATGCAAGTGTAAAAGCTGGAACACTAATGGTTGTGTTTGTTGTTAGTCGAAAGTAGCCACACAATTGACTGTCGCATGATTTGTGCACACATTATTTTAATACAAGTATACATTTTGCAGTTTACCCCCCTCCCCCCTCTCCCTCGCCCTTGAAATAGCTTTAAAGTGTACACAGTTAAAACTAACGATATTTATCTGTAGTCGGTTATTAATACAGCTGGATGTAACATTGTTTTCTCTACAGTTTGTATATTTAAGACATGGTGTCACTCCCCCCCCCCCCCCCCACTCCCATCCTCCAGTCGGGATCGTCAATTTGTACTTAAAATACTTTTTACCTCAAATTAACCATTCATTGAACTTGCAAACGAGAATATTTATTCTATACATTTTGCTAATATTTTGTCTTGGTGTAACCCCCCCCTCCCCTTAATGGTGTCACGCGGTGCGGTCCGCACCCCCCCCCCCCCCCCGCCTCGCGACGCCTCTGGAATAGACTACCGAGTAAATACTTGCAGATAAAGTTGTCACAAACAACAACGAAGAGTTACTGGCAGTAGAGATCCTTGTCGTATGGTCACCCCCCCCCCCCTTAATGGTGTCACCCGGTGCGGTCCTCACCCCCCGCCTCGCGACGCCTCTGGAATAGATTACTGCGTAAATACTTGTAGATAAAGTTGTCACAACAACAAAGAGTTACTGGCAGTAGAGATCCTTGTCGTAGGGATGCTGCTGGAACCTTGCCTCGATCTCCGTCTGGCACCGAGCTGCCCCACTGGAACAATCTGGAACAAACGGGAACACGTGATACACATGTCGTGTGTGTTCACCTCAAAATATAATATGTGCATGTTTTCTGTCTAAAGTAAGGGGTCATCCATAAAAGACGTCACACTTTTTTGACGATTTTTACCTCCCAATTCCCCTCCGCAACACATCGTCACAAAAAGCCAGACCCCCCCCCCCTAAAATGACGACACACCTCAGCCTGTTACTGAGTGAAACACATTGACAAGTGGAATAAAATAACTTGGAAACTTCTACTTATATATAACGTAACAAAAATAAATCGAGCGAATGTATTGTTCTCTGAATCAGATGACAAAAAACTATTCAAAATTTTATAAATCACCTTCTCTTTATTTATTTGTTTCATATTTTATTTAAAGGTAATTATTCGAGCTATATAAAAAGTTATTTAGACTTAAGAACATGTAAATATTCTGATGTATTCTGCTTAATATCAGTTATAAAATTGTGTTAACTATTTTTATCAATTCAAACTATGCTTTAATTTTCTCAAACTCAGTCGTGTTTTAAGGAAAAGAAGTTAAATATTTGCTAGTTACAACATTAATATTACATAGATGTGCGTGGAATTGTGTAAAACTACGGTCTATTTTACCTGTATTGCGACATGTAAAAACACGCTAGACTTCCCAAAAGGCTCTATTTCAACTTTTTAAGGTCGCTTAGTCAAACAGAAAATAGAGGATGGGAAGACGGAGAAATGTTTACACAAGGATTGTACACGTCAACTTATGCTAGCAAGCGTTCACTCTTTGTTAGAATCAGGCAAGCTTGTACTGAGTTTTTTTACTAAAAAAAAGGTGTACAGTCATAACTGAACAGTCGTTGTTATCTAAAGAAAAATTAGAATGTAGTATTTCGAAATAATCTTTACAAGCTGGCATGACATTATACTTATACCAGCTTATACTGGGTTTGGCGCCAACTAAAAAAAAAGTCGTTGTCTTATTCAAATCGTAAGGAGTTTAACACATTGTTCACAGTTGCATGCTTTGAACAGTGTCACTTTTTGAACGGTTTTCACACTTTCTTACCTAGCTCGTTAACATTCTCGCTTATGAATTTAACAGTCTAGCTAACGTTGTTAACTGTATAATCCGGCTTTGACATTCTTACCCACTTCGTTAAAATTTTCAATCTTGAAGTTAACAGTCTTGCTAAGGTTGTTAATGGTTTCATCCTTGGTTAACTTTCTTACTGAGCTCGATAACAATCTTGCTCACGAAGTTAACAGTCTCACTCATAATGTTAACAGTTTCATCCGTCGTCAACTTTCTTACCCAGCTCGTTAACAATTTTACTCACGATATTAACTATCTCACCAACATTGTTAACATGCCTCGATTATTAGCTTGTGCGAGCGGGGTGGTGGTCGGGGTAAAGTTGTGAGTGTGTTGTATAAATATGAGAGTGTCTTTGTAAAAAATAAAAACTTGGTAGGAGGGTGGCCTGCTGAATTTCAATGAAACCTTCATAATGCACTGTAGATGATACAGGATTTGATAGACTTTATAACTAAATTATTTTAAAAAGTAAGCAGTCCATAAAAAATGTTTTCTGTTTTTGTATTGAAAATTTAAAAAAAAAATGCATTGCATAACTACCTAAAAACGGGGCGACAATTGATTACAATGTTAAGTCACTTTTTATTGGAGACCGCCATGAGAGGTTATGCTTATATTTTTATTATTTTTATCTTTTTAAAATTATAATTAAATATATTTCTTTTACAGAATTTTGATTTCCTAGTAAAAACTAATAACCTTTAAAAGCTGGAAAAAAAACCATTTAGTTAAAAAAAGTATTTAGTTCCTTACTAGCTGAGAATAAAATAATAAATGCATTGTCTCTTGGAAAACTTAATCCTGCTAAAACTAACACATAACATCTATTTACAAATAAATAAATCATTCAAAAAATATCCAGTTTCCTATATACCAATACTAACCTTCAGATACCACTGGTGTTGCTAATCCCAGAAGGACGACGAAGATAATCACCACACTCATTCCTAAACACAAATAACTGATGGTATGAATCCATTATTGTGTTCTAAATAATTATATTAAAAATATAATTTTAAACATCCATTGATGCGGAAATAAAAAAAATAAAACTAGTAGATGTAACTTAGATTTTAAAAAATGCCTTACTCTTAGCTTGATCTTGGTGTAAAGGAATCCTCGTGTTTGATTAAGTCCCGGGTAAGGGTTGATTAAAGAAATGCATACATCCCATGGTTGGTTGCTGAAATCTAAGTACATTCAATTCTAGGCCTAAGTTCGTTAGGTATGTGCCTGGGATGTATTAAATTTGTCTAAAGACTTGTATTTACTTTGATCAAATAATATCGCCATTTCGCAATAAGTGTTTAGATTTTTCATGTTTATACCAAAAAAATATGGTCCACTTGTGCAATGTTTTTTATAACAAGAAACCGATGGAAAAAAACTAATAAATTGTAATGTGTAATAAAAAAACGTTTAAACAATGTGTAAAATAAAACATATTGTAAACAAGTCTTTTATTTGAAATGATGTCCTACACATATACATTCAGTTCAGATCATAAATGTAATCTTTAATCATGGACATGAAATAGGATAATTTAGTATTTACACACACTAATCGTTTAAAAATACGTATGTTTTTATCTATTGAGTTATTGGTTTAAGTAACAAAGATATTTATTCTACACCTGGAGCATGATAAATTCATTTATAACATGGAGACTTACAATACGGCACGGCATCTCTATTATCTTGTATGTCATATTTCTTTGACATTCGAGAATGTTTTTTATTATTTTATTATCGTTCTGCTCATCAGGGCCTCTATCCAGTACCATTCGAACTTGTCATTGCTTTAAATTTAAAGTGGTCGCCTATGATTTAAACGTGTTGATAGAAGAGGCATTGACAAATCTACAATACTCATATCTGGCCTTTATTTAAACTTTGTCGTAAACAATAAAACAAGAGGTATGAACCGTTAGATAAATTGTTATATCAAGGACTTAAAGCTTCATCTGGATTCCTTTTTTTTTAAACATTATACAATTAAATTCTTTATCAATGAAACGTTGGAAAATATTACATGGTGTGAAAATATTAATCTCCAATGTGCATTTATTTTACACATCGTTGCATAATATAGCAAAAAAATGCTACATACTGTTTATTTGCAAAATAAACATAATTTGATACAGTTAAGCAATTTACTTATTAGTTATGCTCTCAACATACCGAGCCTACCATTTAAGGTATTTTTCTGAAAAAGTTTACACAAAATTAATTGACCTGTATCTGTGACCTCAGCATATGAAGGGATCGCGTGGTCAGCACTATCCCAGACATCTTTTTTTACCTTAACGTAAGTCAGGTAACCTTTAGAGTGTTGTGGAGAAACGTGCTACGACCAGGGACACCCGAACTCAAGACTTTCGGAATAGCAGACGATCGCAATTCTATTCAACATCGCCGTTCTTATGCGCAGTTTTTTTTTTTTCAGGCATCTCTTCGGGGAACACTGCTTATGCGTAGGGAAATGCTTCGTGTTTAAACCAGAACTTGACTTTTACATCACATGCTAATCATTGTTGTATCTTTATCTATTGTTTTTTTAATATATCTTTTACTTCTGGTTTTAATGTTATGTGTGTAGTTTTCTTCACAAAATGTAATCATAGCCTAATTCAGTTCTTCTAAGAGTTTGCGAGAGAGACACGAAGAAAGAAAACAAAAAATAATCGATGTATAACTACTTAAGTCTATTATAAAATCAGAAGCGTATAGTATTTTACAGATAAAACACAACAGACTAATGTAGCATATCACTCGATACAGGTTTCACACAAACAGTAACTTGTATGGGACAATCTTTAGATTTAGCAATGGTTTTCAAGGGAGATCACTTAGAACTTTTGGTTAAAATGCAGAGTTCACTTCCTTGACTTAAAAAATATTGCTGTTATGCAGCACACAAATAGTAGAATTTTGTTTTCAATATTTAAATGCTTTTCAATTTACATTATTTCACTTCGTTATAAAACAAAAAAAAAGATGTGTTTGACTAAATGTAATACAAATACCACACGTACTTCTCAGGGTGAACTAAAATTCGGTAAATGTATAAGACAAGTGGAAACACATCACAATTGGGAATGTTTATGCAAGTGCGTTTATTTACAAATACTCATGGTGTTATTTCTTTTAAAAATGAATAAAACATGTTTCATTATTAAAATGTATTTAATTTTAAAGCTTGTAAAAACTAAATATATAAATAAACAATATTGTTTGTATAAAGTTGCTTTGTAGCGCTGAAGACACTAGCCACACAGAAACTCTAACATTAAAGTTTAACTCAGTACTTTTGTGTGTTTATTACATTTGCTAGTTTGCAAACGAAAACATACATATAATTTAAATACAGGCCTAATAGAAATAACAAAGGCTGCCAATGTAAGCATTTATTTTTCTTTAAGTAGAAAATCGAACACCTACAGTTTTCCCATGTTCTCTTAGTTTGGTAGCTAAAATATGAAACAGTTCAAAATCCAATAAGTTACATACACTAATAATGCGTGCTTGTTAAAAAAAATTGTGATAAATAATGATGTATAGGCCTAATGTATTTGTTCAACTATGGTTTGGTTTTTAAATCAACAATGAAACACAACGGAAAATGAAAACTATGTACAAATATAAAAGAATGATTTAATAGTAATTACAACTGAGGATCCGCTTAATTATTTCGTGCTAATTGCTTAGTTCATTAATAAATCATGTTACTTATGAAGTTTAAGTTTTTAATTATTTACCAATTCAATGCAAAACAAATAATGTATACAATGTTATTATCAAAGCGGTTTACTTAAAATAAAGAAATTATTTAAAGAAATTCATTAAAGAAATTTAGAGAAATTAATTTATTTTTCATAGGAAAAGCAGAATACAATCATTTTCTGTTGTCTGTATTTTCAAACTTGATCAATCATAAATTATGGCCCGATTAAAAAAAAAAAGTTCGACACATTTAACGTGTTAGGAAAATTGTAAATCGCATAATTATAAATAATTCACCCCTTAATTCGAATTTCAATCCGATTTGTTTCCAAAATCATTTCATCTATGAACTAGTAAAGGTGTCATTTTTGTACAGTGTGAAAGTGCTTTTACATTCTTTTTGTAGCATAATAACATTGAGGGCTCAACATATCACATAATGAACAAATCAATTATTACAGTCTTTAAAACATGAAATTATTTAAAAGCATTTCTAGAATTACAAAAATTTTTACTAAAAAATTAACAGGAATAATGTGCGAAGATTATCGATGTGAATATTCAGTTATTCAACATTTTAAAATACTAGGATTGTCTGATGAGAGATATCACTATTTAAAAGTAAATTTGTAAAAACAAAAACAAAAAAAATGCCAGCTTTCCCAAGCAGACAAGATTGTCCGTGGGACAAGTGGGTAGTTAAATAAACATCAGGTAAACCATCCCAAGCACAGGTATGATAGCAGCTGTGGTGAATGCGGTAAGGCTGGGTGCTCCGTTACCTAGACGGGATTAAAGTCATGTGAAATTTTTGGTACATGCTCGGTACAGATTTGCTAAATTTATTTTAATGTACGTGATGTTTTTGTGTACTTATGTCATAGTTTGTTTTTCTTCAAATCACATTAATATAATTTTTTTTTGATAAACCGAATTGGATAAAATAAGATAGAACTTGATAATAAAAATGTTACGTATTTTATCTTGTAACCTACCATCATTCACGCCTTTGTACAAATCCAATTCTGAAAATAAAAATAAAACATATGTACAGAAGTGATGGAAAGTAATGCAAGTTTTATGCTAAACAATTGAAAAATATAAACGTATACATACTGCAAACAATCCCCCTATTCAACAGTGACGTTGAAGTCACAGCTTCAATCTGTACAAAGGAAAAGAAAAAGTATCACCTACTGAATTTACGTTTAAAATATGTTTTAAAAATATGACTATTCAGTTTTTGACAGGTAGTAATGTAATCAAAGTATCAGTAATTGCCATATATTATATGAATCAATAATGCATTTTTTTTTAATTTTAAAAAGAAAAATAAGGAATGAAACTACTTTATATTAGTAGTCTTAACTTTCCAATTTCTGAAAGCATTTAGAAACACAGATATATAAAGAGAGAGAGAGAAGTACAGAGAGATGATATATATTCCATTACCGCAGTGTTTATTTCATTCAGGCTACAGGAGACGTTGTACAAACAAGCGTACAGTTGATCAGACAATCTGGAAAATAAACAACCATACGTTTTTCATAGTACTGGTAATTTTGTATTATTTCAATAATATTTTATTAATATTTTAAATTTATAATCTTAATAAAAAAAACTAAAAAAAATGGTTAGGAATTTAAAAATTGAACCAAGAAAAGTTCAACCAAGAACAAATAATTAATGTAATTAAAAATGAAACCGTACGGGCAGAACTCAAACAATCCAGAGGTGGCTTGATACATCCCCTGCAACTTGTTCAAATGGTCTTCAATACAGTAGGGGCCTTGTTTCTCACATTCTAAAAATTATCGTATGCAAATCATTGCTGATTCTGTTTTATTATGTTATTTAGAATGATTACATTAAAGCATTTGTTGCAATAAGCGAGCAAGCATGTTGTGAGATAATTGAATCAAAAAGTTATGTGTGTTTTTGTAAAAAAAAAATAATTTTATTTTGTAAAAACCTGGCAAGGTTTAGGCTTTCTTTTAAATAAGAAAATGTTTTAGTAACTTCTCCCAATTAAAAAGAATTAAGAAAATGAAAGTATAACATGTATTGTATTTATTTAGCCAAAATCTATTGTTGTTTATTCGTTTGCTTAACATTTTAAAAATTACACAACTTGATCTTGATCACATAGGTCAATGTTTCTTTTTCTACTCTGTCAATTTCTTTTTAGATTTGAGATTAGATCTTTTTTTTTTCAAGATATAGGATTCAAGAAAACATACCTGATGCTATCTGTATATCTGAAAATATAATCAACATTTGAAATTGCATATGGTTACATTAGATGTTGTTTTGTAAACATTTTCACAAATCGAAAACTAGTCTACCTATTGCGTATAGCTATTCTATTCAAGTTGAGTACAACTAATCTACTTACTGTATATAGCTATTCAACTTTCTTCAGCCGTAGCTTCAATCTAAGACCACAACTAGTCTACTTACTGCAAATGTATCATCAGTCTTATAGGACAAATAGCCCACTCACTGAGGTGTAGCACCGTTCTAAAAATGGCTAGTCCACTTACTGCAGGGTAGCGCCGTTCTAAAAATGGCTAGTCTACTTACTACAGATGTAGCACCAATCGAAAAATAGTTAGTCCACTTACTGCAGGTGTAGCATTAATCTAAAAATAGCTACTCCACTTACTGCAGCTGTAACACCGATCTATAAATAACATGTCCACTTACTACAGGTGTAGCATTAATATAAAAATAGCAAATCCACTTATTGCAAGTGTAGCACCGCTCTAAAAGTAGCATGTCCACTTACTGCAGGTGTACCCACTGGCCGCCAATCCACGAGTCATGGCATTGATGGCGTACGTCCTTTCACTAGCAGACATATGGCATCCATCAAACAAACATTCTAGGTTTCTGGTGGCGTCCCTGTGAATATGGTTAGCGCTGGGTAAAATGCTGGCTAGATATTCGTTTGTTATAGAAACCTTATGTTTGTTACTTATTCCTTTGTTGAGAGTGACAGTTAAACCACATGTTTTATTTGCAAGTTACAATTCGCTACTTTTAGTAACGTTTAGTATTCTATTAAACCTTAGTTCACAAGTAAGCTTGTGACCTACTTAGGTCTGGTATTTTTATTTTTACATTTGTTATAATACCATATATGGTCTGTGGTGCAATGACCGGTTTTTTCCGCTGTCTTACTAAGAGAGTCTTAGACTCAGAAATTTTCCATCAAGATATGATTGATTGATTCAGACCAGGTGATACCCCAACCAATAACCTTATGATTTGAAGGTGACCTTCCATGTTGCCTAAGTCTATAAATAGACCGCGCACAGGTCTCTCGAGGCAGTTCATTGACCAGACGTCGTTGAGAGACATAAGCCCTGTGCGTTGCCGTGAAGTACTAAATAGTTTAAGCAGCATATTCTTATATTACTTGTGGTTAAGTAATTCTTTATGCTTATAGCAGTGATGTGTAAACCGTGGTGATTTTTCTGAAGTGTTAAAAGCTGTGATAGTGTATCATATTATTTTTTCCCACGAATTGTAAGTTGGGTTTTGTTCATTCTGTAAATCTATTTTTTCCTGTATAAATCTAGTGTTCTGCCACGACTTTGTACACTCATTAAAAGTTATATACAGATTAAATGTATTGTTGGCATCAGTAGTTTCTCTAATGTTTCCCCTAGACATCAATTACGAGTCCTAGTGAACTAGTGTGTTAGCTTTATTTTATTTAGGCTTGCCGCCATCTGTGTATAATGATTGAAACGAATCCGGGAGCGTTCGCCAGCTATCTGGCTGATAGTTTGGTGTCTGTTACAAGCTGAGTTTTTACAATGCTATGCATACTGTTTTACTTTATAAGTAATACAATGCTCGCTTAAGTAAAGATGGTTATTGATATATACGTGGCTTTACGTGTAATGGATTACAATATTTAGGTTTTTTAATGTACGTAAGTATCTTACTTACAAAACACTTAGCTAAACAAAACCAAAGAAACCATAGGCTTGTTTGTTTAAATTAAAAAGGTGTGTTCAAACTACATACTAAATAATTAAGTGATGTGTACCCACTGACTCATAACTAAATGATGGTAAGTGTAACCACTGACTCATGAAAAAATGATGGTAAGTGTAATGATGTGAAGTGTACTCACTGACTCAACAAAATGATGTTAAGTGTAATGATGTGAAGTGTACTCACTGACAAACAAGATAATTGTTGCCTCCATGAATCCCCACGTTCCTCATGAATTCCGCCTGGCAGCTCTCCGTGACAGCCTCACATCCCATAGCAGCTGTAAAACATCACAGTAACAATGGTTTCACCTTCCTACAGTAACAATGGTTTAACCTTCCTACAGTAACAATGGTTTAACCTTCCTACAGTAACAATGGTTTAACCTTCCTACAGTAACAATGGTTTAACCTTTCTACAGTAACAATGGTTTAACCTTCCTACAATAACAATGGTGTCACCTTCCCACAGTAACAATGGTGTCACCTAGCTACAGTAACTTTGGTTTAACCTAGCTACAGTAACAATGGTTTGACCTAGCTACAGTAACAATGGTTTAACCTTCCTACAGTAACAATGGTTTAACCTTCCTACAGTAACACTGGTTTAACCTAGCTACAGTAACAATGGTTTAAACTAGCTACAGTAACAATTGTTTAACCTTTCTACAGTTACAATGGTTTAACCTTTCTATAGTAACAATGGTTTAACCTAGCTACAGTAACAATGGTTTAACCTAGCTACAGTAACAATGGTTTAACCTTTCTACAGTAACAATGGATTAACCTAGCTACAGTAACAATGGTTTAACCTAGCTACAGTAACAATGGTTTAAACTAGCTACAGTAACAATGGTTTAACCTTTCTACAGTAACAATGGTTTAACCTTTCTACAGTAAAAATGGTTTAACCTAGCTACAGTAACAATGGTTTAACCTAGCTACAGTAACAATGGTTTAACCTTTCTACAGTAACAATGGTTTAACCTTCCTACAGTAACACTGGTTTAACCTAGCTACAGTAACAATGGTTTAAACTAGCTACAGTAACAATGGTTTAACCTTTCTACAGTAACAATGGTTTAACCTTCCTACAGTAACACTGGTTTAACCTAGCTACAGTAACAATGGTTTCACCTTCCTACAGTAACAATGGTTTAACCTTCCTACAGTAACAATGGTTTAACCTTCCTACAATAACAATGGTTTCACCTTCCCACAGTAACAATGGTGTCACCTAGCTACAGTAACTTTGGTTTAACCTAGCTACAGTAACAATGGTTTGACCTAGCTACAGTAACAATGGTTTAACCTTCCTACAGTAACAATGGTTTAACCTTCCTACAGTAACAATGGTTTAACCTTCCTACAGTAACACTGGTTTAACCTAGCTACAGTAACAATGGTTTAAACTAGCTACAGTAACAATTGTTTAACCTTTCTACAGTAACAATGGTTTAACCTTTCTATAGTAACAATGGTTTAACCTAGCTACAGTAACAATGGTTTAACCTAGCTACAGTAACAATGGTTTAACCTTTCTACAGTAACAATGGATTAACCTAGCTACAGAAACAATGGTTTAACCTAGCTACAGTAACAATGGTTTAAACTAGCTACAGTAACAATGGTTTAACCTTTCTACAGTAACAATGGTTTAACCTTTCTACAGTAAAAATGGTTTAACCTAGCTACAGTAACAATGGTTTAACCTAGCTACAGTAACAATGGTTTAACCTTTCTACAGTAACAATGGTTTAACCTTCCTACAGTAACACTGGTTTAACCTAGCTACAGTAACAATGGTTTAAACTAGCTACAGTAACAATGGTTTAACCTTTCTACAGTAACAATGGTTTAACCTTTCTATAGTAACAATGGTTTAACCTAGCTACAGTAACACTGGTTTAACCTAGCTACAGTAACAATGGTTTAACCTTTCTACAGTAACAATGGATTAACCTAGCTACAGTAACAATGGTTTAACCTAGCTACAGTAACAATGGTTTAAACTAGCTACAGTAACAATGGTTTAACCTTTCTACAGTAACAATGGTTTAACCTTTCTATAGTAACAATGGTTTAACCTAGCTACAGTAGCAATGGTTTAACCTAGCTACAGTAACAATGGTTTAACCTTTCTACAGTAACAATGGTTTAACCTACCTACAGTAACAATGGTTTAACCTAGCTACAGTAACAATGGTTTCACCTACCTACAGTAACAATGGTTTAACCTAGCTACAGCTAAGTAAGTCATTGACTATATATCAAATGATACTATATCTGCGCTATTAACAATTGGCATTTTACCATATACAAATATAATACAGGTATGTATTTAAAAGACTATACATTTTGTTTAAGTTTAATAAATGGAAAATACTTTATTAATAATGTACATCATCTTAGATTAATGAATTAAATAAAGCAGTAAGCTATCTGACTTTTAAATAATGTAGGAACTATGGGGAAAACAATTAACTCACGCGCATGAAATTAATCCGACAAGACCAAAACTATTGTAAAAATCTGAAATTAATTTACTTACTTGTTTCTGTAGTTGTCATGACTGTTATTTTAGACGAAAATAAAAGTTACAATTTTTCGAAAAAGTGTACAATTTTCTAATTGCTATATTTGGTTTTTTTTTAACATGCGGGGTGAGAACAAACAACAAAAAATTCGAACAAGCAGAATAGACAATATATATATACTAGCTGCATCCCGTGCTCCGCCACGGTAAATCTTTTTAAAATATACCAACTTTGGAACAGAACAAAACAAACAAAAACACAACACAAACACAAACAAAACACAACCACAACCACAACACAACCACAAAACAACCACAACACAATCACAACACAACCACAACCACAACACAACCACAACACAACCACAAAACAACCACAACACAACCACAACACAACCACAACCACAACACCACAACCACAACACACGGTAAATATTTTTTAAATGTACCAAGTTGGGAACAGAACAAAACTAAATACAACACAAACGAACGCAAAGAAAAAACAAAAACGAAAAAACAAACACAACACTCAACATAAACTCAATTTAAATGTAATCATAAAGGCATATTGCTCACAGTCTATCCCGTAGCGCCAAATCGCGCCCTTTCCGAGCGCCGGCGGAAAATTTCGATTTCCACCCTCTCCCCCCCCCCCCCCTCTTGCTACGCCTCTGTTATAAAACCCCTAGCTTTTCCGCAAATAAATTAAAGGCAGTATTTAGAATATCCGTGTTTTACCGACCATATTGCACTTTATAAATTCATGCATTTTTTTCAGTACTTTTAAAAATTTACAATAAAGTTTCATGACTAAAACCATTGCGCACCTAATGAACGTGATGACTTAATATAGTAATGGAGAATAGTTGATTAAAAATTATAATTAGTAAACAGTACATTCAGTGAATAAAATAAATAAAAGATAGCCTTTTATCAATCAATGCTAATAATAATATTCCAACAATAATGTACTCTTACACGTCTGCATAATTTGCATTCACATTTTGCTAATTATATTATTCCAACAATTATTCCGCCTTGCAGATTTTGCATTCACATTTTTAGCGTGAGTTCAATTTATCCTTGAATTACCTCCTTTGGCAAAATTACTAAGCAGTTTAATTAGATTTTTCTACCGTACTGTTATTATGTTATTAATATGTATCCGCTTTTTCTGGGAATATTAACGAAAACGATATTTGACATTGATCCTTTTAATATGTTTTAGCAATGTGCGTGTATTTAATATTCTCTTTACGTTATGCAAAATTGTACAAACAGTGGAAATTATAAAATAATTCTATGCCACTATATAAACAAACCCTACTCTAATACTTATAATAAGACACTGCGATGCACTGAAAAGCACTGCGTGGTGCGAATGTTTACTTTTATAGTCCCAAAATCTATAGCGATGACGGACAGACACAGCCCGCTTATATTATAGATACAATTCTTTAAAAAATATTTAATTCTCTATACACGTTTTCAAATTATACAATTATGTCTAATAAAAAAAAAGATAACAATTATTTATTTTTTTTAAATTGTAATAACAAGTTTTCAACTATTCTAAAAATTACTAAGTGAAACAAGCTTTCTTTCTTTGATGAAAGAATTGGTCGCTACAATATTTTAGAGATTTCCTTAGCAACCAAAGCTTTTACCTAAGAAGGTGTTTCTTTTGTTCTTATTTGAAATCGTGTTTATTATAAAAGTGTACATATTTATTTTACTTTCTTTGGAGGAAAAAAAGTTCTCTACTTACAGGTTGAGTTAATGGATACATCTGAAAAAATAATGTATACCAAATTAAAAAACATAAAGTATACCAAATTTTTAAAAAAATAATGTATACGAAATTTAAAAAAAAATAATGTATACCAAATTGTAAAAATTAATATGCATTTATCTAAATCGACATAACAACATGATAGTACGTTTTAGTACGTTTTAGCAACACATTTATAAACATTTGAGTAATTTGTAAATAATGATATGAAAGATGAATGTATTACATTAATTCAGGAGTATCTTAAAGTCCAAAATTAAATATTGTTCATGTATATAGTCAATATTGAATAACCTACCACAATAAATTCCTCGATTATACAACTGGTATGAAGTGATACTGTTAAACTGAAACAGAAGGTGGTAAATTTCTTTTAAAAATCATGTCTTTCTAAAATTCTGATTTTTAAGAAAATACTTTAGTAAATGAACGGATATTAAGCGACAACTCGAAGAAGATCATTGGTCAGCATATATTAAGTAATAAGGTAGTAAAGTAAGTGCTAGTCTAAGAACTCATATGTTAACTATATCTCTGATATTTTAGATCTATACCGACACAATGGAAAATTATTCAACGATATCTGTAAGACCAGACACGCTAAATGACCAAACCTTCACAAGATCAAACACCCCACTTAAACAAGAACTCAATGGTACAACAACACACGGCGGTGTATGAGGATACAGAGTTTACACCGGTGATTGCTCATTAATTATAATAAAAAGATAAGCCTTTACTTACAGCCTGGTAAATTTCATCCAGGTCACAGTTGTATTGTGCGAGACACATGTACATGTAATCAGTCATTCTGCAAGAATGAAAATCATATATATATATATATATATATATATATATATATATATATATATATATATATATATATATATATATATATATATATATATTATATTATATTATGTATTTTATATATTTATCAGCGTACTCATAAATTCGAAAGTATTACATGCAACACTTAAAATAATTGAATTCTTACGGGCATGGCTGGCCAAATCCTGATTTTGCTTCGTCCGAGTTGCTTAATCTGTCCAGGTAGTTTTCAATACAAGTCTGTTTATTTATCTGACATGCTGTAGCGAGATGAAGAAATATATATATTTGTAGTTTTCAATACAAGTCTGTTTATTTATCTGACATGCTGTAGCGAGATGAAGAAATATATATATTTGTAGTTTTCAATACAAGTCTGTTTATTTATCTGACATGCTGTAGCGAGATGAAGAAATATATATATTTGTAGTTTTCAATACAAGTCTGTTTATTTATCTGACATGCTGTAGCGAGATGAAGAAATATATATATTTGTAGTTTTCAATACAAGTCTGTTTATTTATCTGACATGCTGTAGCGAGATGAAGAAATATATATTTTTGTAATTTTCAATACAAGTCTGTTTATTTATCTGACATGCTGTAGCAAGATCAAGAAATATATATTTTTGAAGTTTTCAATACAAGTCTGTTTATTTATCTGACATGCTGTAGCGAGATCAAGAAATATATATATTTTTATAGTTTTCAATACAAGTCTGTTTATTTAGCTGACCTGCTGTAGCGAGATGAAGAAATATAAATTTTTGTAGTTTTCAATACAAGTCTGTTTATTTAGCTGACATGCTGTAGCGAGATGAAGAAATATAAATGTTTGTAGTTTTCAATACAAGTCTGTTTATTTAGCTGACATGCTGTAGCGAGATGAAGAAATATATATTTTTCTTGTTTTCAATAAAAGTCTGTTTATTTATCTGACATGCTGTAGCAAGATCAAGAAATACAATCTCTTGATAGTTTGGAATAATGGTCTAAGTCATACACATGTACTGCACATGACTTTAGACAATGTCATTACTAACTTAACCAGCGAATTCCCCAAAGACTGATCATAGCGAGTAAGGTGTTGTTTATATACGTTTTTGAAATATTCGTGTTTAAATTATTTATGATTGATGTATCTAATTATTTCAAATACTATGATTGCAAGTTAAGAGACTTTTTAAAAATGTAGTAGATTATTTTCTTCTATGAAAGACCCATTTAAATTATAAAGAAATTAGTCTTAGTTTTTTATAATTACTATAAAATAGATGTGCATGTTACGTTTCTTTGAACCGCATATTCGTTAATTCAACTATGATATTTTGATATATAAATTTTAAAAACCGTAAGCATTAGAATAAAAATTTACTTAATTTTTTCACCAACAATTTTTAGTCAGATCAAACAATCGAACACTTATACTCATGATGACAAGAATAAATCACGTTTGGTATTCAGTTTTGGTTATTTGTTTTTTTTTTTAATACTCAATGATAATTATAGTTTGCTTACGCTAAGGCACGAAATTAAAAATATTAAGCGTGATCTATATATTAACAAATAATAACTGTTATAAAATCTTCTATTTCAAGTGCATACTTACGTGAAGTTATCGTTAGGTTTAAATCTGAAATTCAAATTGAATTGTTTAATTACAATTTATTTCATTAAATAGGATGATTTTCTGTTACACACATGTATTTGGAATTTGAATTTGAAATAATTTTCAAACTGATTTTGTTACAGTAAGGCTCAACCATGTTTACACATGTTATTTACTGTTATTCCATTTTAATTGTATCGTTAAAGTTTAAGATTAATAAAAATGGGTGGAAGCGATTCTTTATTCGTATTTCAAATGAAAATACCTTAAGCTAGGTTTTGCTAGTAGTTGTTCAAAATCCCCTAATTTCAGTGCCAATCGGAAACTGCTAGAACTGTGACATTTAGTCTACTGGAGCTATAGAAAAAAAATCTAACATGTAAAGAAATGACTTACTGCAGTTGTAATTGGCATTAGACAGGCCTTGTAGTGTCGCGTTGATTGTGTACTCCTGCATGGCTGGTGAGTAGTTGCACACAGTGAACATACACGTCAGGTAGGTTGTTGCATCTCTGTTAAGGTCGAAGTTCACAATTTACTATATTGTTTACCACATATATTTAAATGTGTTTCATTATATATAATCTTATTTTCATCAGTATCGTAAGAATGTATGGGAGTCCGGTTGGAAAAGCTCAAGGTTGCCAAACCAAAAGGTCACGAGTTCGGATCACCGGCAGATGAGGCTCGATAGCTGGGGGACAGCACCTCTTCTAGGAGAGAAACCCCAAGCGCAAATGACTGCAGCCTTGTAGTTTGTTATTGGTTGGACAAAGGCTAAGGAATCAAATCCAGGACAAAGGCTAAGGAAGCAACTCCAGAATGAAAAGCAGGCTGAAATTAGAGTCAACGGTCTATATGGCGCATTACTAATTGACACCTAATAGTTCTTTTAAAATCTCTTCCAACATCGCAGTTAATAGAGACGAATAAGTAAGAATGTCCATAACATTACAGAAACTGCTTTTATAAAATTCTGTGATAAAACAGGAAGCTTTGGCCTATTGTAGTGATGAGAGTATGAACCGATGTAACGAATAATTAATTGCATTTGTATTTAAGTTCAGTACAATCAAAATAACTATTCGAAATATAACTACATTATATATATATATATATATATATATATATATATATATATATATATATATATATATATATATATATATATATATATATATATTAATACAGTTGTATATTGTTAAAAAATGTGTTTTTTATCAAACGTACTCGCAGACGAGATCTTTACTCCAGTAATGAGCGTTCATGTTTGCTGTGAAATTGGCTTGACAAGAACTTGACCCAGTTTCACATGTGACTGGTTCTATACGGAAAAAAACCTTTAGTTGTGGTACACATACGTATATTTTTTTTTTTTTTGCTTTTACTTTGAGTAATAGAATAGTTAGAAGTTGAAAGGGTTGATTCTAAAGTGAGTAGGCCCCTACTTACCCATAGTAGTTGATGACATCTGACCTATAGTAGAAAATAATGATATGACATTTACAATATTATGTCATGTATATTTGTATAATATAAGAAGAACAAATAAACAGTAGAATGTAATATATCCGGTGCAGACCGAATCCCCCCCCCCCCATACATCACATTTTGACGTTGCTGACCCATAAGCATAATTATGTTTCTAATGAAGGAAATCTTAAACCACAAGTAAGGTAAGTGTAATTTAGCTACCTACTCGCATGATCAAAACAAAACGCTTACCACCTTGATCCAGATCTACATCTGTAAAACAAGTTAGCAAACGTTTAATTTTTTTTTATTTAACATTCTTTTTTTTTTGTCTGTAGTTTTAAATACAAGTATCATTAAGTCACATACATTTAGGTCGGCTAGAAAGTTTTTATATTTAATAGACCTAATGGATTACTGGTCGGTATTTAAGATACAAAATGCATATATTATATTGTAATTTTTGTGAAATATTAATTATATCTCACATACCACATAATATTCCTCTACTCCGAAGGTCATAGTATGATATGCCGTTAACCTATGGAAAAAAGTATACGATTAACATTATGTCTTATAAACTTTCAAACAGATGTTGTACTATAAAATATAAAGGACCAGAAAAATCGAAACATCATAAAATCTAAGTTTAACAAATATATTTTTTCTCTTCACAATGTAATAACGTTTTTATAACGATAATGTTAATAAGATGTGATTACATCCATTGCAGTTACTTCTAATTTTTAAAGTATAAATCAAAAGTACATATAGTGTTGATCAATATATAATTAGGACATAACTGTACATGCTATTTCTTCTGCGTTGGATACACTATAAAACCACAATTAAAACCCATGTCACTTCAAGGGTCGGAAAATAATGTAGTTATCGTATGCAGTTAAGAGTTAACCCAGCTCTGGTTAGGAGAAACAAAGGTGACTTGGCATAGTATTGAATACACTATCCCTTCAAATGCCAGGTTCTATGAAACATGAACTCTCATTCATCTGCCCCATATTTCTTGGGCAAGAACGGAAAAAGACGCTTATAATGAATGCAGTTTAAAACAATTATTGGGATTATGACATAAACTTGAATTTTTTAATATTAATTATCTGCATGTGTTAAGTGATTTGGACATAAGAATTGAGTCGTTTAACTAAATTTTAAATCACCTTAGCATATTTACTAGCATGTGTTTTATCAAGTTGAACATACCGAGATGTTTCACTACTTACTAAATTTGTAATCTCATCGTAGCCACAGTTGAGGTAAGAGAGGCACATGTACAACTTATCAACTCCGCTGTTTGGATTTAAAACATGATGTAATCAACCAAAAAAAAAGTATCATGAATGATTGAGTTTGTTACTGCTCCTTGAAAGTTAAGTTTTAATATTATTTGTTAAGCGCAAAACATTTTAATGCACTAAAAATAGTTTAATTTTTTAGAATTCAAAAATAAATAATTAAGTAAAAAAATATTTGGGAATTAGCTCAGTTGTTTTTTTCTTTAATTTAAAAAGCAGATGGTTAGAAAAACATCTATATTGGTTATAGACTTTGCAAAAGTAAACTTTAACTTAAGGATATTACTTGCAGTAAAATTAACCCTAACTTATAAGCAGGAACATTAACCCTAACTTACGGCCTGTAGAGTTAATCCGTAACTTTCGGGCAGTAACGTTAACCCTAACTTATGGGCAGTAAAGTTAAACCCCAACTTACTGGCAGTAAAGTTAACCCCTAACTTTCGGGCAGTTAAGTTAAACCCGAACTTACGGGCAGTAAAGTTAAACCCGAACTTACGGGCAGTAAAGTTAACTTCTAACTTTCGGGCAGTTAAGTTAAACTCGAACTTACTGGCAGTAAAGTTAAACCCGAACTTACGGGCAGTAAAGTTAACCCTACTGGCTAGCTTACGGGACGTAAAATAAACCCTAGCTTACGGGCGGGAAAGTTAAACCCTAACTTAATGGCAGTAAAGTTAAACCCTAACTTACGGGCAGTATTGATTATTTCCAGATGTAGCATCTGTCGAGTTTTGCAACATGCTCAGGTGGTTTTCTATACACTGTGGAGCGTCTTTCAAACAAGCTAGGACAAAGTGTTTTTAAATTGTTTCAAATGTGTATTGTATTACGAAAAATTATATTTACGTCTTATAGAAGATCCTCGTACAGTTAAGGTTAAGCAACAGACAATTTTGAAATGTCAATGTTTGAACTTATTTTTGTATGTAATGGAAAGGTTGAGTTTGAACTGTATAATTCAACTTTGTTTAGGGTAATTAAAACTAACTGTAATATTAGGTTTTGTAGACTTGTGTGTTTAAATTAAATTAAAAGTATGTACTTGTGTCAAAGATTCATTTTAATTCAATGAGGGTTTAAATGGTTCATATACAATTTTAAAATTAATCTTAACCGGTGTTTTTTTATTGTTATACTTACGGGATACAACTGTTATATTGATATCTGAAATAGAAACATAATGTGTATACATGTTATTCTTACGTTTGTGAATCAAGAAACACTTAAATATACATCTATTAAATTGTATTTTTGTTTTATCTGTTGCAATGTTTGATTTCGTTTAACATTTTTTTTTCGTTAAATATCGGACAAATAATTTTACTTTAAAGGTTCTTTTAGAGTTGATTTACAAATCATTTATAGGTAATAGGATTAGCTGCAGCAATAACTTACCACAATAATAGCCTGAAGTAGCCAAGGTTTGACGTGTCAAGTTAATGGAGTTTTGCTGCATGGATGGCGAGTAGTTGCAGCCAGCGAATACACAGAGTAAGTGGTTGGTGGCGTCTCTGGGGGCACAATATAGACACAATCGTCAAAGTCATTGGAAGTGTTTTAAAACAGATTAGCCACAATGATCAAAGTTATTGGAAGTGTTATAAAATAAATTAGACACAATGATCAAAGTTATTGGAAGTGTTATAAAACAAATTAGACACAATGATCAAAGTTATTGGAAGTGTTATAAAACAAATTAGACACAATGATCAAAGTTATTGGAAGTGTTATAAAACAAATTAGACACAATGATCAAAGTTATTGGAAGTGTTATAAAACAAATTAGACACAATGATCAAAGTCATTGGAAGTTTTATAAAACCGATTAGACACAATGGTCAAAGTTATTGGAAGTGTTATAAACAAATTAGACATAATGGTCAAAGTCATTGGAAGTGTTATAAAACAAATTAGACACAATGGTCAAAGTTATTGGAAGTGTTATAAAACAAATTAGACAAAATGGTCAAAGTTATTGGAAGTGTTATAAAACAAATTAGACAAAATGGTCAAAGTCATTGGAAGTGTTATAAAACAGATTAGCCACAATAGTCAAAGTCATTGGAAGTGTTATAAAACAAATTAGACACAATGGTCAAAGTAATTGGAGGTGTTATAAAACAAATTAGACAAAATGGTAAAAGTCATTGGAGGTGTTATAAAACAAATTAGTCACAATGGTCAAAGTCATTGGAAGTGATATAAAACAAATTAGTCACAATGGTCAAAGACATTCGAAGTGTTATAAAACAGATTAGACACAATGGTCAAAGTCATTGGAAGTGTTATAAAACAGGTTAGACACAATGATAAAAGTCATTGGAAGTGTTATAAAACAGGTTAGACACAATGATCAAAGTCATTGTAAGTGTTATAAAACAGGTTAGACACAATGGTCAAAGTCATTGGAACTGTTATAAAACAAATTAGACACAATGGTCAAAATCGTTGAAAATTTTATAAACAGATTAGACACAATCGAAATCATTGAGAAATTTAGAAAACAGATTATACAAAATGGTCATAATCATTGAAAATTATAAAACAGATTAGACACAATGGTCAAAATCATTGAAAAATGTATAAAACAGATTAGACACAATGGTCAAAAAAATGTAGAATGTAATGTAGATTTATAAATCCGATTAAACACTACGATTATAATCATTAGAAATTTAATTGAGATTTACAAATGATATTTAACACGATTGTCGAATTTCATTGAAAATTTATTGGAGAATTATTAATCAGATTAAAAGCAATGATCAATCAAACCACTGGCTATATAATGGGGATTTACAAATCAGATTCAAAACCATGGTCAAAATAGTTGAAAATTTACAGGAGATTCGCAAATCAGATTAGACATAATTGTCAACATGATTGAAAATTTTATAAAACTAATTAAATAATGCAAAAAATGAATTAAAAATGTAATGGAGATTTTAAATTAGATTTCTTTTTAAATTCATAAACATTTTAAAACATAATGTAGTTTTAAAATAAGATTTCTTTTTATTTCATATGCATTAAAATTATAATTTTGATTCTTTAAAATCGAATTAAACAAAATTTTCATAATCATTGAAAATAAAAATATTTACAGTCGGATTTCATAAAAGTTTTTAAATAATTAAAAATATAATAGAGATTTGAAAATAATAACGTAGGTTTACAATACATCCGCATTTATGATAAAGAATGTGCTGGTTAAATTTTTCGGTTGTTATTTTAAATATAACGTTACTCTATGATTTTTTACGTCATGTTGTGTTTAATACATTAATTTTTTTTCAGCTTTAGAGGCTTACTAATTACTTAGAATGAACTTGTTGGATATTACTGGATATCCCACATTTTTATAATTTTGCTTTAGATTTTTTTCATTTTGCTATTTTGTGCTTATTTTCTAACTGTTAAAAGGTGAATGTGTGGGTAATTTGATAAGAAAAACTACTTACTGACAAACAAGAGGCTTATCCCCATAGTGAAGTGTTAGATTCCCTTCAAAATATTCCTGACATCTATTAGTTGCTGCGGCACAGTCCATAACTTTACACACAAAAAAATGTCAAAATGTAAATATTATTTTTACAAGCATTTTATTTTTGTTTGGAAATGCGAACTTGAATTTAAATATACTTTGAAAATAACTTTTAGAGACTTTTATTATGTACATTGATTTTTGTAAAATAAATCAGTAAAAATTTTAAATGAATACAAACACATACCTGGAGTTGGTTCAGTTTCTGAAACGTAAAAAAATCGAGGTTTTTGTGTTAAAATATTTTTTTCTGGTTTAAGTCAACAATAGAATATACGCAATGCATTTCAAAACCACACTAGTCGACACACGTTTCTTGTGCGTATATTAAGTGCCCCAGACCCCACAGTGCGGGGGGGGGGGGGGGGGCTAGGGAGGTAGGCCGTTTAAGGGGCCAACATCCAATCATAAATACTGTTTATTAAAAATTTTGAATTTAATTTTTGTGAATTTTTGCCCGAGTATTTGGTTTCTAAAAAACATACTGTAGCTGTGGTACGATGATCCTTATTGTACAGCCACTATACCACGCTCTCCCCCAAAAATAACAAATCTATTACACAAGCTGTAGTATATTAAAATATAGACAAAACTTCAAATCTTAATGACTTCTTTGACTTGTTGCTCTTTTTTGATTGTCAAATAGGGGACATATAGCTATTCGACCCATCTCCATAGTGTAATGTGGGCGGGATGGGGCAGGGGGTTGGGACCAAATAGGGGGCTCGAAAATTGTCAAATTTATTTATATATTTAAAAAGTTATTTCTAATTGTATTTTTTTAACAACCGTCAATTTTTTTTTTGTATTTTTCGTTTAGTTGTAATGGTTCCAAACTTTTTTAGTTTTATAATTTAAAATTATTGTATTTCTATTCTTAATATATTGCCATACTCATGGAGAGAAGCCTGACGTACACTCAAAGTAAATTATCCTAAAAAAAACTTACCGTTTCGGTATAGATCAATTTCTGAAAAGCAATAGTAGTCAGGGTTTTATGTTGAAACTGAATTTAGGAAAACTTTAATATACTTTTTTAATGTTTTGTAATATACAAGTAAGTCAGTAAAAAGAAAATATATGTGACTTTATTTTAATATTTTTTAAAAAATTCGCCTATTTGTGATTTTATAGCTTTTTCATTGTCCTAACCACAGTCTAAAAATTATATTTTTTTTCCCATTTTACTTACCACACAGTATCCCTCTGCTATACAAATCATGAAATGTGATGTTCCGTATCTAAAATAATAGCATAAATAATTTTGTTTTCAATAAAGTATAACCTGGTAAAATTTACTTAAACAGTCTTCTTAATACACACAATTACCATACATTAATTTATGAAATAATTTAAACATTAGATCTACTAAATACCGTTCAGTTAGTTTTATGTAACAACTGTTTGTCTTTAAATGTAAACGAACTTACCGCATTTGAAATTTCAACATAATTGCAGTAAAAGTTTGACATGCACCTGTACAATGTATCGACAAACCTGGGGACAAAATAGTCACTTAACGTTATTCTGTTGCATATAGTATTTTAGTGTGAGAAAATTAATTACAACCAAACTTAATTAAACACTCTTGTTATGTATCATATTTTCTAAAACGTAGTTAAAAATTTTTGTATATAGCTGATGGTTAATCATATAATATAATTGTTAGATAAACTTTTATTTAAGTGTTTAGGAATATATCTCAATAAATAAATCATTAATATTGATGTAAGAAAGAAACACTTAAGAACACTTACGGGCAATATTTATAAGCACCAGACGTTACTTCATAGGAAGTATTTAGTTTCTCGAAATAGTCTTCAATACAATTTGGGATTTCACGCTCACAAGCTGTTGATGAAAGTCTTATTATCATAAAGTACGGATGGTAAGTACTTAGTAGGTAGAGGAGACTAATCATTACTAATCAATATTAATATTTAATATTACTATGTAAGCAATATGCATTAAGTATCGGTATTAAAATCAATAGGTAAAATAAAGATTGGCTGAATGCACATACTATCTTGCTGACGTATACATTTTTTAAAAGAAAAATGTCATACCTGTTTCCTCGCTGATTGTTATGTTGATACCTGTGGCAAAATAAAATAAACAATAATTAATAGTTGACCTATCAAGTTATCAATAAGTAACAGATTTTACATGAGTTCTTAGAACTTCATCATGAGATTGATTTGACAAACAGATCTCAGTAGCAAACTAAAGTGTGGGTAAGAAATGCATTTAATTTAGAGAAGCTAGCAAATGACAAGGTCAATATTTTTTTGTGGAAATTAGTGATTCTTTGATAAATTGACTACTGTTTTTACCTAATGTAAAATTTATCTCTTCGCTATACGAACACGTTTGATCATGCATTAAACACCACTGCTACTGTTAACATGTTATATTTAGGAAAATTTTTTAGGATGCTATACAAAAATGAATTAAGGAAGAAGCCGATATTTTGACTACTAGACTAGCTTTTGTCATGACAGAAACATATTTTTAAATAACTTAAATGCAGCTAGTGATTATGGAAGCAAATTAACATTTTTAGTAATTTAAAAATGATGACAATTTATTTAAGATTGTTATAAGCTTATAGTCTGAACACGAGTTCGAATTCGGGCCCAAAGCAGTGAGACTTTCCTGAGTCAACCCAACTATGATGGGTACCTAGCTTACATTAGTGAGAGTAAAAACGGTTAGGCATACGGCTGACCACACAATCCCTTCATAAGTCGAGCTCACAGAAATAGGTGAACTCTGCTTCTCTTTCTTTATGGACCATTAGGTTTGAAAAGGGAAATTTACTTGAATATTTTGCAGTCTCAAAAACTATTATGCTTTATTCAAATGACTAGAAGCAGGTTTCAATAGATCTATCACCATACGTTGCCTGTGTGTCTCAGAACTTACTGCAGTTGTACCCGCTTCCCAGCATGCCTTGAATCGTGTAGTTTCTCGCCATCAGTTGCATCTCCCGGCTATAATGGCAGGCTTCAATGACACACATCAATTGTTTAGTGGCGTCCCTGAAAGATAGGGTAGGTGGGTGATGAACTTAATAGTCACACTAACATACATCACATTTTTTGTTCGCCGTAACGATCTTTCAATTATTTAAAGTTAAATGCTAGATTGCTTATAGCTATTTCGAATATACACTAGTCAGTTTTTGACTAAAAATATGTACATACTAACTCTTACTTAGCTTAATATAATCAAAACATTTTGCATTTATTTATGATGTGATATATAAGGGAATATACTCGTGTCATCTTTTGCAAAATAAAATGTATATGAGTAGTCTCCCTTTATGTAAAATTTGCCTTACTTCTATTTATAAGGAATTATTAATCTGTCTATGAGATATAGTTTTAAAGCGGGCTGAGTACCAGTCAGTAGCGTAGTGAGGGGGGGCATATGTCCCCGGGCGCCGACCTTACCTTAGGGGGCGCCAAAATGGGTTGGTAAAGTACATTGAAAGGTCGAGGGGGGTGCAAATCAAAAGTGTGAGAGGGGGGGGGTGCAAATGTAAATCTTGAGCGGGGGGTGCAAATCGTAAGTTTTAGGGGGGGTGCAAATCGAAATCTTAAGGGGGGGGGTGCAAATCGAAAAGTTTGTCCCCTGGCAACGGGAAGGGTCGCTACGCCTCTGGTACCAGTACTCTACTTTTTGTCAAGCTGCTCACTTGAAATGCGTTGCGTTTAAGGATAGTTGGATATTATGTTTTCCTCATGCACTGTCTTCATGTATCTACACCTTCCTCACGGGGAAAATAAATTACCAAATCTTAATACCGAACGTGCTTTGTGCTAAAAACACATTAATGTAGGACATAGTAATGAGCACAACTAAAGCACATAACCGATGATATCGATCATCACAACGCGAGATACGTGTTCGATTGATTAATCCTGCATTGAAATTTGCAGCGTTACTTTAGATAAATGTAGTTCTGCCAGTTCTATTTTGCAACATTAACTTTGATATATAACTGCTGATTAAACAGGTTTCCTAATCGATATTGTACGAGCGATGTGTCTGCCTAGCATTATTTCCCTCGCCAAAGATTAAATCATATGTGAATCAGTGATCAATATATATATATATATATATATATATATATATATATATATATATATATATATATATATATATATTTCGGTTAGTTCACTTTATATTGTTATAATTATTGTAATTTATATTGTAAATGATGACTATTTAATTTTATTGAAATGATTGAATTGATGGATACCAAACCCGAATTGTACCAAATGTACATACTGGCATACAAGGTCATTATCCCAAGGATGGAGACTCATATTCCTTTCGAAATTTTTCTGGCAGATTTCAGTGGCTGCTGAGCAGTTACCTGGGGCTGTAAAATATATAAACATGTGAGCCGTGTTTTTTGTGGTAGCAACATTTAAATGTTTCTCACTGTGATTTTACTCACTTAGATAACTTTAAATTTTTAAATGCAGATAAAAAGAGAAGAAAAATATTAATCAGAATTGGAAATGCATCGAAGAATTTTAAGCTTATGGGCTTGTTAATTAATGTAGAAGAGTTGCGAAAAAAATAACTGATATTTTATATATTTAACTTTTAAATTATGATGTCTGTTTGTTAAATTAATATGAAAAAGCGATATTAAAAATTTCAAAGCAATAAAATTCACTAGCCTGGAGTGGACGTTGGATCTGTTCCTGTAAGTAATTATATGTATATATATATATATATATATATATATATATATATATATATATATATATATATATATATATATATATATATAAATTTATATATATATAAATATATGTATATGTATATGTATATATATATATATATATATATATATATATATATATATATATATATATATATATATATATATATATATATATATATACATATATATATATATATATATATATATATATATATATATATATATATTTGTATATATATACACTGTTACCTACTTAGGTCGAGTCATTTTTATTTTGACATTGTATAATTCCTTATATGGAATGATGGTGTAACACCTGGGGTTTTTCCACTAACTTATTAAGGTGTTTGAGACATAGAAATTTTCCATTAAAATCTGATTGAATGATTCTGATCAGATGATTATCCCAACCAATGGCGACATGAGTTGAGGATAACCTCCCCTGTCCCAGAAGTCTATAATTGCACTGCACACTCGCAACACGAGGCAGTTTATCTTGACCTGGCAGTCTACGAGGCAGTTTTACCTTAGTCAGGCAGCCGTCCATATTGTCCGGCTATAGACTCTGACCATTTGAACGTGAGAGTACTTAAGACCTGTGTGTGCCTTGCTTTCTTAAAGTGATTTAGTCTTCTAGTTTAATATTACTTGTCGCTCAGTAATTCTAGAAACTACAGCAGTGTTGTGTGGCCTGTAGCTGTTCTTTAGACAGTGTAGAAATCTGTGATAGTGTTTTTTCCTACATTGTGTAAGTTGGTTTTTGATATTTTATACATTAAATATTTTATTTAGTTCAACCTTGCGTTCTGCCACTTCTGAGTTCGCTGATTAAAAGGTCGTATGTAGATTGGATGAGTGTTAATTACAATAGTATCACTAGCTTCCCTAGACATTAAATTCGAGCCCTAGTGGTCGTTGTGTTAAGTGTTCATCCACTTAGGCCGTAAGGCATTTGCATATGACCCCGAAAAAAGAATCCGGGGACGTTCTCCTTCTATTTGGCTGATAGATAGGTTAACGTTACAAAGTGGGGGCTCGCCGAGATTTAATCTGTCGTTCCAGTTGTTGGTTATATCAGTTGAATACTAAGGTTAGTTGGATTTAGTTGTTTTTATATCCAGTAGCGCAGTGTCCTTACAACGCGCGCAAGCATAGAGTTATCTAGGTCAATAGCCAGACGTGTTGTCCCAGATTGAAGAGGTCAAGTACACGGCCCAACGCTGTGTGTTAAGTTAGTGAACCTAGGCTTGTTGTGATTTGAAAGTTAGTGTTATGGAGTCTTTTTTGGCTAATCCTACTTTTGAAGAGGTCGAGAAGTTGAGTAGAAAAGTTTTGATTAGTGTTGTTAAGGAATTGAAATTGGATTATTCTGTTACGCAGAAGTCAGAAGTGTTGAGAGATAAAGTTGTTGTTCATTTTATTAATGAAGGGGTATTTGATGAAAGTTTGTTGGCTGGTGTGTTACTCCGTGAGGAGAAAGTTGCTTTAGAGAAGGCATTAAAAGAACAGGAGTTAGAGGTTAAAATTGCTTTAGATAGGAGGAGGTTGGAATCAGAATTTGGTCAAGTTAGTGATGTTACTTCTCTGGTAGATCCAAAAAAGTTGTCGGTGGGGCAAGTGATTGCCAAATTTGGGAAATTAGTTCCTAAATTTGATGAAACAGATTTGGTCGTTTTCTTTAACTCGTTTGAGAGTTTAGCGAAGACATGTGAATGGCCCGAATCTTCCATTACTGCTTTATTGAGCTCTGTCCTTACTGGGAAAGCTGCAAAAACATACCAGGCACTCTCTCACGACGTTCAAAATAACTATAGTTTGGTCAAGACTGCCATTTTAAATACCTACGCACTGACGCCCGAGGCCTATCGGACAAAATTCCGAACACTCCGCAAGTTACCCACACAATCATATGTGGAATTTCTCTTTGAAAAGGAGAAAATATTCTCAAGGTGACTACACTCTGAGGAAGTTTCTGAGTTTGAGAAACTCAGGTCACTTATCCTAAGGGAAGAATTCCTATCGTCCCTGCCTGAAGAGATACGACTACACATTCTGGATAACAAGATAACTGACATCCAGAAGGCTGCTGAGTCGGCTGACACATATATGTTGGTGCATAAGAAACCACCAGTGTCAGGAAACCGCCTCAACCCCGTGCTTCCCCTTTTTGGCAGCAATCCTCCTGTTGGCCAACATTTGAAGGCATCACAGTCCAGAGAGAAACCAAGATCAACTCTCAATCGTCGAGCAGTATGCCAGTTCTGCAAAAGGTCTGGGCATCTTGTCAAGGACTGTTACAAACGTCGTCAATATAACAGAGAGGTGGTGCGTACTTCCGCGCACTATGCTCTATCCCCTCAAGCAGCCAGTTCAACTATGAACTCTAGAATTCAAAAGGACTCTAACCCTAAGTGTCCGCAAGAAGGTAGTCAAGTCTCCACACATTATGTGCAGTCACATTTTGACTGTTCTCGCCACCATCCAGTTTCTTCCGAGTCTACCGATCTCGAGGGATTGAGAAAAGTTGACTTTTCATCTTTTATTGCCGAAGCCATCATTAGCAAACCAGGTGATCCGTTGTCTCAGAAGAATATCACCGTTCTAAGAGACACAGGAGCGTCACAATCACTCCTTTTGAAAAGTTCAATGGACATTTCACCAGAGACGAACACCGGAAGGATTTCCATTATCCAGGGAGTGGGGACAAAATCTACTGTCGTCCCTCTACACAAGTTTGCCCTGAAACATCATCTCGTCGAAGGTGAGGTCATTTTAGGTGTGATAGATAGTATTCCAGTCCCAGGAGTACACCTACTTCTAGGGAATGACCTTGCGGGAAGCAAAGTATACCCCTGTACGGTTTCAGACCCTTTGTCAACAGTTCCAGATAATGATTATGAACTGTATCCTGCATGTGCGGTGACAAGAAGCCAGACCAAACAATTGGCTGACACAACGTCTGAACCACACCCGCCGTCATCGTCAAGAAATTCGACTCCCAAACTGGAGTCTATGCTTCCAGAAAATACAAGTCTGGGCTTACCCCTGAGGATATCTCAGGAAGACATCATTAAAGCTCAACAAGTCGACGCGGAACTCAAAGCAGCGGTCGAAAAATCTCTATCATCTGACGAGGGAGAATATTTCGCCGAGAACGGCCTCTTCTTTCGTCGCGCTATACCAGTGATTGCCTCACCGGCCGAACCATGGTTGGGTAAAAACCAGCTGTGGATCCCTCCACCTTATCGGCATGAAATACTTAAGCTGGCACATGACCATCCAATGTCAGCGCACCCAGGTGTCACTAAAACGACGGCGAAGATCAAAGAACTGTTCTTTTGGCCCAAAATGAGAAAAGATGTGTCGCGTTACTGTAGAAGTTGCACGAACTGTCAGTTGGCCGGAAAGCCAAACCAGACAATTCCTAAGGCCCCTTTGAGTCCGATTCCTGTAGTAGAAGAACCTTTTTCTAAAATCGTCATGGACTGTGTAGGTCCCTTGCCTAAAACCAAGGCGGGCAACGAGTACCTACTTACCTTTATGTGTTCAAGTACCCGTTTTCCCGAGGCGATTCCCTTACGGAACATTAAGGCAAAGACTGTAGTCAGAGCCATGACCCGGTTCTTCACTACCTTTGGATTACCTAGAATCGTGCAAACAGATCAAGGCAGCAACTTCACCAGTCACCATTTTCAGGAAGCGCTAGCCAAGCTAGGCGTTACCCACATCACCAGCTCAGCCTACCACCCTCAGTCTCAAGGCGTACTTGAGAGGTTCCACCAAACCCTCAAAACCATGCTAAGGACATTCGCTAACAGTAACACCCAATGGGATGAGTCTGTTCCTTGGATTATTTTCGCCGCGAGGGACTGTGTCCAGGACTCTTTAGGCTACTCGCCTTTTCAACTTGTGTTTGGACATTCTGTCCGTGGCCCCCTGAAGCTGATACATGAACGGTGGACAGGTACCAGCGATCATCCTGTGGAAAACTTCGACGATTTTCACGTTCGACTGAAAGCCGTGTGCGAAATGGCTCACAAGAACTTAAGAAAGGCCCAAGTGAGAATGAAAGGACTGTATGATAAGAGTTCTTGTAAACGAACATTCAATCCAGGCGACAAAGTTCTTGTGTTAGTACCTAATCTGAACAATGCGTTATCCTTGAGATATTGTGGACCCTTTACTGTGCATTCAAAATTAAGTGATTTGAACTATGTTGTCAATACGCCCGACAGAAGAAAGAAACAGACAGTGTATCATGTCAACTCACTGAAAAAGTATTATGATAATTGTAACAATTTTCATTCCACAGCTAAAATTACTTTACCTGTATGTTCAAATGTTTCTGATGATGTGATACATGATAAATTGAAACCCCCAAAATTGGTAAATTCTTCCTTTTTAGATAATTTGAATGTCCACCTTATGCATTTGTCCACAGAGGAAAGCCATAGATTGTCTCAGTTATTTGAGACATTTCCCTCTATTTTTGGGGATGTCCCCAAAGAAGCGAAGGTTCCACCTCATGATGTAGACGTTGGTGACGCAAAACCCATTAAACAACACCCCTATAGAGTTAACCCGGAAAAAGCTGCTTTGATAAAAGATGAAATTGACTATATGCTCAAGAATGATATCATTGAGCCCAGTTTCAGCAACTGGAGTTCCCCATGTCTCCTAGTCCCGAAAGACGGTGGATCTTTCAGGTTTGTGACCGACTTTAGGAAGGTGAATGCGCTCACCAAAGCTGATTCCTATCCCTTACCTCGGATAGAAGACGTTATTGATAAAGTTGGGCAGGCTAAGATAATTTCCAAAATTGATTTACTTTCAGGATACTGGCAAATCCCATTATCTGACCGTGCAAAAGAAATATCTGCTTTTGTAACCCCTAATGGTTTTTATAGATACAAACGTATGCCCTTTGGTATGCGAAATGCTGGTCAAACTTTCCAGAGGGTCATTAACTCTGTCATTGCTGACATAGACCAATGTGAGGCCTACATAGATGATATAGTTGTATTTTCTAATACTTTTGAAGAACATATTGTTCAATTGACTAACCTTTTTAGAAAATTGTCTGAAGTTAATTTTACTGTAAACTTACATAAAAGTGATTTCTGTAAAGCTTCAATTACTTATTTGGGTTATCAAGTGGGAACGAACCAAGTTCGGCCCATTGAAGCTAAAGTAGATGCTATTGTAAAGTTGCCACCTCCCAAAAATTGTAAAGAGATCAAAAAGTTCCTTGGGATGGCTGGTTACTATAGGCGGTTCTGTCAAAACTTTTCAGCTATTGCTGAACCTCTTACTGCATTATTGAAAAAGGGTGTTAAGTTTGAATGGTCCAATAAATGTCAAGAAGCTTTTTTAACCATTAAGTCATTTTTATCAAATGCTCCTGTTATGGCTGCACCAAATTTTAGCAAGCCCTTTAAACTTGCCATTGATGCTAGCAACTTAGCCATTGGCTCAGTCCTATTTCAAGAAGACAACATGGGAATTGACCATCCCATTGCCTTTTTTTCCAGGAAGTTAAATGAGAACCAAAAGAATTATTCTACTATTGAAAAAGAAGCTTTAGCTTTGGTTTTATCATTACAACATTTTGAAGTCTATGTCTCTTCTTCAACCAATCCAGTCAGAGTGTTTTCTGACCATGATCCCCTGAAATTTACCTCTAAGTTAGGACAGACAAATCAAAGAATATTGAGATGGTGCTTATATTTCCAAAATTTTAATCTGGAAATTTCACACATTAAGGGTAGTGATAATGTTGTGGCTGATTGTTTGTCAAGGATGTAAAATCTTATTGTACACATTGATCATGTGACATGCTTTGTGGTTCATTAGGACCATAAACAGGTTTTGTTTGAGTGTCACTCATATGAAAATGAGTGGTGTGAGTTTTGAATTTTTTTTAAAGTTCCAATCCTGTTGAATATTTTGTTTATTTTCAGGTGAACCTTAATTAACGGTGGTTTTTGATTATATGTAATCTTTTATAATAATATGTCTCATATGACTCCATTGATATTGTAGCTAGTCATTGAAATAAAGGTCTTACCCTGGCGGGTTTACCACTTTTAATATCCTCATGGAAATATTGTAATACCCTTTTTTGAGGGATTTTGATGTATAATTACTTTTTGAAGGGTTACTCCCCTTTCACCAATTGTAAAAGTTGGAGTTACTTCCCTTTTATGTTCAGGGATATTTTCATCTGGTATTATGATTTTGATTGCCTACATTTGTAAAACATTTTTGTTATTTCATTGCCAGATTGGTTCCCTATGTATGTTTTTGTGGAACCTATCTGTCACTTCCAAAAAGGGAGGGGATGTGACCTACTTAGGTCGAGTCATTTTTATTTTGACATTGTATAATTCCTTATATGGAATGATGGTGTAACACCTGGGGTTTTTCCGCTAACTTATTAAGGTGTTTGAGACATAGAAATTTTCCATTAAAATCTGATTGAATGATTCTGATCAGATGATTATCCCAACCAATGGCGACATGAGTTGAGGATAACCTCCCCTGTCCCAGAAGTCTATAATTGCACTGCACACTCGCAACACGAGGCAGTTTATCTTGACCTGGCAGTCTACGAGGCAGTTTTACCTTAGTCAGGCAGCCGTCCATATTGTCCGGCTATAGACTCTGACCATTTGAACGTGAGAGTACTTAAGACCTGTGTGTGCCTTGCTTTCTTAAAGTGATTTAGTCTTCTAGTTTAATATTACTTGTCGCTCAGTAATTCTAGAAACTACAGCAGTGTTGTGTGGCCTGTAGCTGTTCTTTAGACAGTGTAGAAATCTGTGATAGTGTTTTTTCCTACATTGTGTAAGTTGGTTTTTGATATTTTATACATTAAATATTTTATTTAGTTCAACCTTGCGTTCTGCCACTTCTGAGTTCGCCGATTAAAAGGTCGTATGTAGATTGGATGAGTGTTAATTACAATAGTATCACTAGCTTCCCTAGACATTAAATTCGAGCCCTAGTGGTCGTTGTGTTAAGTGTTCATCCACTTAGGCCGTAAGGCATTTGCATATGACCCCGAAAAAAGAATCCGGGGACGTTCTCCTTCTATTTGGCTGATAGATAGGTTAACGTTACATACACACAAATTTATATATGTAAACATATATAAATAGTACATATATATATATATAATTTTTAAAAATATAGGCAACAGAATTATGGATTGTAATTTCATAGATGATATATTACTCTTAAAATATTAGGATCACCGTGAAATCCTTTCATTCGTTATGTTGTGTTTGTATGCATGACCTATTTTATGTATCAATGATTCATGTATTGATATAATTTGGTTGCAACAACCAATAAAAATGCATACTGTCCTGTGTGAAAATGCAAAGCTACGAATCAAACACGAATTATCAAAATGAACTTACCATTTTGAAACAAGTCAACGTCTGAAATTTTAACAGAGAAAACTGTACTTAGAATAGCTTATTTATATTTGTGATATAACTATAAATACGTTTTAGCTTTTGCTTTTAATGCAACTTATCTATCAACCCAACGTTTTTACAAATAGCATTATTAATCATTGGTTCATTTTATCTAATTCTATATTTTAACGGTCAAAACGTTTTAGTAAATATTTTAAAATTTTAATTTTAATTTAAAGATTTTTAATAAATAGGGCCTACTTATTATTTGAGCACTCAAAACTCAATTGCATTAGGTTTTCATTGATAAATCAAATACACACACTAAGAATATATATGTAAACTCTTTTGGCAATTAAAATAAACATTTTAAAATTAATTCAATTAAAATATTTATTTTTTTATTTCGTATCTGTATAATTATTATGTAATATACTATAAATATAGATATAAGATCAGACCACCAACTGTTGAGTTATGCCAACCAATTTTTAGATTATAAGTCATAAATATCTGATTGCCTAAATTAAAAATTGCTAACACCCATAAATGTAATTACCGCATTTGATTCCTCGTAAATACAAATCATAATCTGTAATGTTGTCAACCTATAAACGAAAAATCAACAAAATATGTTATTGTTATACATGATTATAGTCTCAAAATGGCAATTGTAATATTTCTAGCCATAGATAAAATTAAAGATTAAATCGTAAAAAAAATTCACTTACCGCACGTTGGATTTCATTCGTGTTGCAGTACAGATTACTCAGACATAGATACAACGTATCAACACCACTAGTGAAAGGAATAATGTTGGATTATAATAAAAATCAGATTATGTTATAATCGTTAAAAAAATTAAAAAATAAATAAAGGAGTCAAAATTATTTGTTCTAAATAATTATATATATATATATATATATATATATATATATATATATATATATATATATATATATATATATATATATGTATGTATATGTATATATATGTATATATATATATATATATATATGATTCCAGTTTTATGGATATAAACAAATAATGTTATTACGGGCAATATTGCACTGAGCCTGAAGTAGCCTCTTGAGAGTTCTGCAGCATAGTCAGGTAACTAGCAACACAAGCGGGCGTTCCTCTTTGGCAAGCTGGACAGTAGAAGTAAATGGCGGTGATGCCCGTGGCAAACAATAATGTAATACGATCTTTACAACATGTCTAAAACATTACCACAGATTTCACGCACTATATATAGTTATATATATAATCGTATATGTTAATCTATTACGTTATATATTACATCCACATTCTATTTACAAAAATAAATTAAAACATTTTACCAGAAACTGTGCTTGCAGTGACGTTGATCTCTGAAAAAATATTAAATGTTTATATAATATGATGAGTACTCACACTTTTAATTATCTTACTAATAAAATATTCAGTTCATTTTGATCTTCAGATTTAACAATACAACACATGAGCTTTAACCAATAGGGCTCTTAAATTTTACTTTCATAAAACGTTTCGTTGTTAAAATTTTAAAAAATTCTCAATCGACTTTGGATTTAGGGGTTGTTTATCAACGATGCCCAACTCTTATGGTAGAAGGGGGTCTTAATGGTGTGAGGGTGTTTAATGAGAGGAAAGTGTAGGAGTCAGATAGATGCACACTATACATTTCTAACAGCAAATGTCAAAAACTGAATTTAATCGTTTTTTGTTTGTTTTTTCGTTTTAAAAAACTATTTTGTAATTGAAAAAAAATTCGTTAATATACTCTACGCTGACCGAACATCGTTCTGTCTTGTTTTTTTTAAATCAATGCTTAAGAAAAATTAAACTACAGTTTTGTAAGCGGTTGTAGGCTGAGGTGTGACATCATTGTAGGTGGGTGTCAGCCTTTCTGTGACGATGTGTGACGGTGAGGAGGGCAGAAGGTAAAATCGTGACGTCATTTATGGATGATCCCTTAGATGGTACACATTTAGTACAGGCTATTATTAGGTTTTCGTGCCCCCGTATTATCAGAGGCGTAGCCCGGGGGAAAACTTTCGCTTTGCCCCCCCCCCCCCCCTCAAACTTTTAATTTGTTTTTCCAACCAATTTTGGCGCCCCCCTACGGCCAGCGCCCTAGACGCCCACCTAGTTCGCCTTACAGGTAGCGCCGGCCCTGGACACATTAAGATATTATTTCACTTGTTGACTGTGAACATGACTGTGAACATGACTGCGAACATGACTGTGAACATGACTGTGAACATGACTGCGAACATGACTGTGAACATGACTGTGAACATGACTGTGAACATGACTGTGAACATGACTGTGAACATGACTGTGAACATCACTGTGAACATGACTGTGAACATCACTGTGAACATGACTGTGAACATGACTGTGAACATGACTGTGAACATGACTGTGAACATCACTGTGAACATGACTGTGAACATCACTGTGAACATGACTGTGAACATGACTGTGAACATGACTGTGAACATCACTGTGAGCATGATAAAATACATAGAGCTGTACTCACTACAGTAAGGGAGCATCGACAAGATGTCGGTCTGTGTGCTGTTGATGACGTACCACTCCATTTCTGGTGAGTAGTTGCAGGCTTTGAAGATGCACCTCAACTTATTGTTTACGTCACTGTCATATACATAAGCACACCATTCAGTATAGTTTGAGAATTACCTCATAAAAAACCTCATATATTACTTTTATAATTGATTTATACATAATGCACAGAAAAAATGTGTATGTTTATTCAATTATTTTTGTTGAATTGAATCATTTAATAGGGGCGGCGTGGTCGAGTCTGTAAAGCTTATGGTGAGTCGGTAAAGCTCATGGTTGCTAAACCGAAAAGTCTTGAGTTCGAACCCTCGGGCAGATGAGGCTCGTTAGCTGGGGACAGCCACTCTTCTAGGAGAGACAACTCCAAAGTTAAACAACTGCTGCCTTGTAGTTTGTTCTTGGTTGGACAAAGGCTATGGAAGCAAATCCAAAAAGAAAAGCAGGCTGAAATCGGAGTCAATGGCCTCAATGGCGCATAACCAGTTGACACGTAACGCTTAATTGTGTTGGAGGCGTGGTCGAGTCGGCAAAAAGCTCATGGTTGATAAATTCGAACAAAGTCTCGAGTTCAAACCCACTAGCAGATAAATCTCGATCCCCTTCAACACTAATAATTAAGAACGAAGAAGAAGAAGAAGAGAATCATTTAATAGTTACATGCAAATTAGGTCGCTGTTTGATGGATGAAGTGAGACGTTCTTGGCATAAGCATTTGAACATGTACTCGTGGCCACTTCACAGCTTACAGGGGCTGCGAGATATAAGTTAGAGGGGCGACCTCGATTTATGACAGTTTTGTTTATCAACAAGTTATCCCCTTTTTTAAAAAAAATGTGTAATTTTTACCCTCATGCGAATTGTCTTTTTAAAATTATTTCGTTTAAAGTAATCACGCATTTCCCTTTGTTAAATATTGTTTTGTTTTAAAGAATGATCTTTTTTCTTATGACGTTGCAAATTAATTCTAAGCTGTTTTTTTTTATTTTGTAATTTGTTTTAATTTTATTTTAAATAGTCGAGTCCTACCTGGTGTTGTTGTTACCATTGTTCCTAAAAGAAGAAAACATTATAAGAAATGTGGGTGTTTTAAAAATTTTATTTATTAAGACACAAACTAAGGGAGATAACCATAATTATGCTACGACGTCGAAAATTTCAGAACTAAAGCTCAAGTGAAACTGTGACATTATAAAAAAAAACACATACCATTCCTAAAAAAGTCCACGTCTGAAATTTAGGAACAAAATAAAATTTTTGTTTGCTAAAGAAATTGACAAGGATACAAGTCATATGGATAATTAAGTATGTGTTTTTATATTTTTAAAATACAACGGGTTTTAAATAAAATGCTTTAACCATTTTATAGCCGGGGAGTTCAATTGTTTTGAAACAATGTATACACCACGTCTGGTTTTGTTTAACATGATATGATATAGAGACAAATGAAGAAAAAAAACGAAGTAGGAAAAAAAAGAAAACAGACGAACAGAAAAAAAAAAGAACACGAAGAAAACTAACTTTAAAAAAAGTGATTTAGTATTTAAAGAAACAGCATTTTTGGGATGGGAAAGTTTAACTATCAGGGTAAGGAATTAGAACCAACAAACATTGAAGACTGCGTACCGAATGTCAGGACCATATCAGTTAACGATTAAATCCTTTAAAATGTGTTGTTACTTTTTCTTAAAGGGACAACTTTTTAATATTACCGAATACTTAATTTTGGAATTTAATGGAAAACAAAACTTTAAAGCGTGTGTTGTTTAAAAGGTGGAGTAAGAACAGTTTGGTTCTAGGGAATATATATATATATATATACATATATATATATATATATATATATATATATATATATATATATATATGAAAATATGTGTATTCAAATAAAGATACTTACCACATTTGATCCCCCTACTACTTAGATCATAGCTTGTTATACTGTCAATCTAAAGAATACATTATTGTTTGCATGTTTTCCATAGTAATATTCCAGATTTCTGGTTTTGTGAACTAATAAACACATGATAAATACTAGTTCAGGGGCTGATAGTCTCCCTTGTGCTATGGTAACTGTGGCAACAGGGGCCGCAACCAAAAAAGATGTAAATTATATCCCCTGACTGATAACCCATGGTTTCACATGATATTGGTAATGTCTATATACCATACTCATTGTAACATGGAACGACTTGTATATCACCATTTCTACAAAAAACACATAAGCTTAAAAACTTACTGCTAAAATAATCTCTGGCATGCTACAATATCCGTCGCTCAAACACATATAGAGATCTGTTATATTCCTGTAAAAGAAATGTTTTAAATACACAAAATAAATTAGAAAAAAAGTCGTACATTTCAAAAAGTGCGTTTCTTGTCTTGAATTAACTTTGTAGATGAGTACTTACGGGCAGTAGGTGTTCAGTCCTGAAGTTGCCTCGTACGAGTTCTGCAACAGTCGCAGATGGTTATGTATACAGATGGGTGCGGCAGTCTGACAGCCTAGGATTGAGAACACACTTAACGGATCCACACTCAATTTAGTTCTACAATATACGCGAGCTAAATGTACATACATGTATCACAATCTGTAATGAGTAAACTAATTAAATTTCATGCCAAAAAGGATAAAAGTCAAATAGATCACAGTTTTCTGAGCAAACTTAATTTATTGTAATAGAAAATTAATTATCATCAACAAAGAGTTAAAACGCCAGGTACATTAATATAACAACAAGAAGTATAACCGAAACCTAAAAACTGCATGCGGTATATCAGAAGCGGTATATCATTAGGAGCGGTGATATATGAATAAAGAATTATATGTTTTTAACTATGAGCCAGAGGCGTAGCGAGAGGGGGGGGGGGGCGGGGGCGGGGGGTGCGGACCGCACCGAGTGACACCATTTAGGGGGGTGACACCAAGGCAAAAAATAGCAAAATATATAGATAAAAACTTGAGGGGGGGGTGCAAATCGAAAGTTTGAGGGGGGGGGGGGGTTGCAAATCGAAAGTTTGAGGTTTGAGGGGGGGGTGCAAATCGAAAATTTGAAAGTTTGTTCCCGAGAAGGGTCACTACGCCTCTGGGGTGTGACACCATTAAGCGCCGCACCGGGTGACCCCGACCTCGCTACGCCACTGCCATGAGCTGTTTGTAAAACATATTTATTGCATTTATTTTACATTAAAAAAACTTACCAGAAGCAGGATTTACTGTAATGTTGATCACTGAAGATTGAAAATAAAATAAAATTGTATCATGGTTCTATGCAAATGAATGCATGTATTATATGTAATGTAAATAATATGTTTAATTGTACTAATTCGGATAGTATATTCTTCTTATTCCGCCTTGCTCCCTAGTGGCTATATGACCGACATACATACATACATTACATATAACCACAAACGATAAACACAGTTTATATATATATATATATATATATATATATATATATATATATATATATATATATATATATATATATATATACATTTTGTTTTTCAATGTTTATATTTTTTATCATATGCAGAAAAATCCTGACATTCATTAAAGACAGGTGATGACAGGGTATTATTAAATCGAAGTATTTATGTGTTAAACTAGAAGTTTGGACGATGTTAATAAAATATCGCCATAAGCTTACTACGGTTTGTGTTGAATTATTTATAGAAGCCTACCACATTTACTAGACACATTCACTAAACAACTTAGGGTAGTATTAATCACCAAAAACTTACCACATTTACTAATCTTAGGGTAGAATTGATCACCAAAAAACTTACCACGTTAACTAAACAACTTAGGGTAGTCTTGATCACCAAAAGCTTACCACATTTACTAATCTTAGGGTAGAATTGATAACCAAAAAACTTACCACATTTACTAAACACATTGAATAAGGCGGCTTAGGGTAGAATTGACCATCGAAAACGTACCACATTAGCTAGAGAGGCTTGTTTTGAACAGATTATGAAAGCTAACCACATTTAGAAACCAAAACTTATCACATTTACTAGAAAATTTAGAGTAGAATTGATAACTAAAAACTTACCACATTTACTAGAAAATTTAGAATAGAATTGATAACTAAAAACTTACCACATTTACTAGAAAATTTAGAATAGAATTGATAACTAAAAACTTACCACATTTACTAGAAAATTTAGAATAGAATTGATAACTAAAAACTTACCACATTTACTAGAAAATTGAGAATAGAATTGATAACTAAAAACTTACCACATTTACTCGACACATTGACTAAGGCAGCTTGGGTAGAATTGATTAAATACGCCTGCATCTCTGGTGAGTAATTACAGGCCGCGAAGATACACTTTAGGTTGTTGGTTGCGTCGCTGAAAAGTTAAAACACAAGCATCGTTATACAGTTATTTCCCTTCACAATTATTGCTGATTCAATAAAGTGGTATATTGTTTTGTATTTATAAACTACTTACATGCAGATAAGGCTCCCATTAAACGGATGAAGAGAGACGTTTTTTGCATAAGCATTTGCGCACATTTCGGTAGCCGCAGAACAGCTAACAGGAGCTATAAGGTAGACAAATCAAACGATAAACAGTGACACTGTGAGGTCGATATCTAGTTGTTTTTTTTTGTAGTTGTAGTTTAACAACATATTGTTTATATAATTCTTCATAGCATAATCATTAAATTAAAATAATATATAAATTAGGTTGCTAAATATAACATACATTTGTTATTCCTGTACACGACGTTAAGTTATAAATCAATATAAAGTTCATTGAGAAATTGTGTAAAATGCCAGTTTTTTAAAATGAAATTTATTCGGTTTATTTATTTTAATAAACGAAGACCAATACCAAACTACTTAGAAATTAAATATTAAAAACATTTTATGTTGTATCAATACCATTGCAATCCTGATGTTGGTGTATCAACATCTATTTTCATTTTTTTAAGTAAAACGTAAATGTGTTCAGTATAGATCGACACATTCACAAACAAGATTGACATTCAGAAGAATTCTAACGAAAGTGAACGCTAGTTTACCAGGAGTGCAGGATTCGTTCAGGGTCGTTGCCTTGGCAACGTTGTTTGGCAGCAGGCTGGTAGAGCCGTTGAACAATACTTCCGACACGACATCCGTCCAGTAAACAGAATACTCTCTCACAAATGTTGCCCTAAAGTATGCCGGGTTCAACAGGTTTTAATTAGATACAGTTGAGAATAAATTTTAAAATATTTGAAGTAGTTTTTATTTTTTATTTTATCTTGGAGATCTATTCTCTAAAAAAAAAACAGAAATAAGGGTATACTTCTTATTTTATTAGAAGTTTTAAAAATATGTTACATGCAATTTTGACTGAATATAGTTCATTTTTCTAAACTTTGATATATAAATCGAACTATGTTTTCTCGTCTAATTTGTTACCTGAAGACAATAGGTCCTACTGGTTCGGTGGGTGCAGTCCAGTTGAATGTTAAGTTAAATTTCAGATTTCTGTTTGTGTGTACTAATGCTTTCTGAAACAATTAAGTTTATATATATATATATATATATATATATATATATATATATATATATATATATATATATATATATATATATATTTTAATTTATATATGTATATATACATAATATATACATGTATATACATATATATGCATATTTGTATATATATATATACACATATATATATAAATACATATATATGTATATATATATATATATATATATATATATATATATATATATATATATATATATATATATATATATATATATGTGTGTGTTTGTGTGTTGTGTGTATATATATATATATATATATATATATATATATATATATATATATATATAGAGAGAGAGAGAGAGAGAGAGAGAGAGAGAGAGAGAGAGAGAGATATAATACAATATGTAGCAATCCAAAACCACCTAGTGAGGAAGAACTTACTCCTGAGCATGCTGTCTGGGTGTTGTTAACCACTGTAAAATTGCCCTTAGGAGACTGGTCTTGATTCAAGTCAGCTGACCTCGCCTGTATCATGAACCCTTTGAACGTATCCATTGGCCCACATCCGGCAATTGTCACTGGGGTAAGGATTCGAATTATAAATTCTTATTCGAACATACTTAAGGTCGATTAATTATTAGTATTTAATTATAATTATTTTATTTTTGCTGTTATCAGTCAAGCGTGAAACAGAATAAAAGTGTACCGTTGATTC